GCAGGAGCTGCTAAAGGAGATTTCAACAGTACAACTGTGGACCTTTCCTAGATAGTTTTAGAATGATCTCTTTTTTTTTTTTAGTGTTTGTGCAGTTCTACTGTTTCATGCTTTTGTTTATAAAACATAAAATGGTCGTCCTGGAGCATGGGTGACGCAGGCTTGTGGGCTGAGCTCTGGTCAGAACACTAGTGCTAACCACTGCTGGAAGAAGCACTCACTTTGTTACTTAAGTAAGAGTACAGATATTAGAGCGAAGAAATATATAGAGTAAAAGTATCACATGCAAAAAGTACCAGTTTAAAAATGTACTTAAAGAGTAAAAAGTAAAAGTAATTTGTGATTTTAATAAAGATTTGTCATGAATTTTGTTCAACAGAAATAATCAAATTGATAGTTTTTTAATTGCTGTTTTTATTTATATATTTTTGTTTGCTCAAACTGTTAATGTGTTCAAAACAAACTGGTCTCAGTCTATATTCTATGTATTAAGGACTTTTCAGTCCTGTTCAAAAATGCAGTGGAGTAGAAAGTACAGATAAATGCCCTCAAATATGATGAAATTAAAACAAAAAGTATCCACTTTAAAATGTGAACAGTAAAGTACAGGTACTTAAAATGTATAGTAAGTACAGTATAGTACAGTACAGTACTTAGCTACTTTTACTTTGCTACATTCCACTACTGCTGCTGCTGACCAAAAGGAGGGTTTGAAAAGGGCGAGAGAGAGAACACTAGATTAATATTCCAACATGTGTGGATGACATCTAAAACCTCTTCAGGCATGCTTTTTGATGAGGGAACAAAGGATGGTGAATGAAGCTCCAAAAAATTGATTTAGCAGAATAGCCCCTCACCTTTATCTTTTTCAGTAGTTTGCATCAGTATGATCCAAAAGCTCATGTCGTGTCACCCTTCTAAAAATAACTGACCCACTGACACAGAGGTCTTTTTAATCATATTTTATAGCTCATGTATTTTATGAGTTAAGTCTGCAGCCGTGCTCCGCTCATTTATTTGTGTTTGCTGCTCGTCTGTGGCTTCACAGAAAGGAAGTTCCAGGTAATTTGAAATGTACTGGGGCTGATGTGGATTCAGCTGAAGTCTGGTTTTATGAAAGCACAAATCAAAGCTGGAAAATGATTTGTTTTAATAATCATAATAATAATCATACACTTTATTTATATAGCGCTTTTCTAAACACTCTAAGACTCTGCACAAAGAATACAATAAAAAACAAGGTAATCAGACAAAATACAGGCATAAATTATTAAAACAGGTCAAACATTCAGAGTGGTTCTAAATAGTTGGGGTGAAGAGTTCAGTGCAGTCTCTGAATGGGTATTTTAGTCTTTTGAGAATTTATTTATTTATTTATGTAAAACAAGGACAGTGCACAAAAACATTAAACACAGAGAGAAGATGTTCTGTGCCAGAATTTAGCTCCTTTAGTTCCTTTCCATATGCAGTCCTCAGACAGGCACAAAATACATTAAAGAAACTATTTACATTAGAGCAAGAACATTTCATCATTAGTTTCATCATTGTGTGAGGGGAGGATGGAGCGTGAAATTGACAGGTGGATTGGTGCAGAGTCGGCAGTGATGCAGTCGCTGTATCAGACAGTTTTGGTGAAGAGGAGATGATTTACCTTCAATCTAAGTTCCTCCCCTCAACTATGGTCATGAGCTCTGGGTAATGACTGAAAGGACGAGATCGTGGATATAAGCGGCTGAAACGAGCATCCTCTGCAGAGTGTCTGGACGCTTCCTTAGAAATAGGGTGAGGAGCTCAGTCACACAGGAAGAGCTCAGACTAGAGCCGCTGCTCCTCCACGTGGAGAGGAGCAGCTCAGGAGACTCGGGCATCTGTTCTAGACATGTTCCACCGGAAGGAGACCCCGGGGAAGACCCAGGACACACTGGAGGGAGTATCTCTCTGGGCTGGCCTGGGAATGCCTTGGGGTCCCTCTGGAGGAGCTGTAGGAAGTGTCTGGAGTGAAAAAAGCCCCAGCCCTTGATAAAGCAGAAGAAAATGGATGAATGGATGACATTTTACCATTAACCGTGTCCAATTCATCATGAAACATTTAAAACAATCAAAATTCATTCTGCAATACAAGATTGCAACATTCAGATTCATCATTATCCTTTAAAATGTACATTTACCAAATTCATCAGTATTATCATCAGCATTATTATCATAAAATACAAATCATCAACAACATGACCATCAAGACAAATGTCATTAGTCAAACACAACACATTTACGTCTACACAATACATCTACAGAACAATCAGGCACAATGTAAAAACGTTTAAAGAGCCTAATGTTGACGCACTGCTGCTCTGAAGACATCATTTTAGCCCATGAGACAAAGTGTGGGAGTTAGTTCCAGTTTTAAGTTTATCTGGAAGCGTGTTCCAGTTTTTTGCTGCTGTCTATGAGAAAGCCGAGTGTCCCATGATGAGAATTTACAGATGAGCAAGAAATTCTGGTCATTTGCTCTGATCTGAACTGGAAGAAGCCTCTTAAAAGAAGGAGAGCAGCTCTGTGGAGAATTCTATGGAGCAGCCAAATCACAAAATCAAAGTCAAAGTCAAAGTTTAACAGGTCGTATCTGTTCAGAATGTTACAATAATGATGAGTTAATGTTTTTTAATTAAAATTTTTGAGGGCTTGTTTAAACAGAGCCTCAACTGATTTTTTTTTTTTTTTTTTTCTGAGACCAACAGATTAAGCAATAATGTAAATGAGAAAAAATCACGGCATGAAGAAAAGCCTTTGATGCCTGAGTGTTTAGGGAGTTTTGAATATGTCTGACTTTACTTAGATGTTTAATTTTATCAAAGGATAGGGCCGAATCCAAATAATTAACATCAATACATTTTGTACTTTTGCATAGATGTTTACAGAAATAAGTGTAATACAGGAAATGAATAGTGAATAAGTAATTATTTGAAATATGAGTCTGTTTTCAACTTTTATTCTGAGACATATAACTGGATTGAGTGAATGAAAGACGAACAGATTTTGAGCTTTTATTCACATGTTTGTGCTAATCAAATGTCCCCTTGAATGCAGACTTTCTGGATATCCTGACTGCCACAGTGGGCTTCCTGAATATGGACGCTCGCTTTCTTCACACAATAAAGTAGGCTTGGTTGGCTCTATTACCGGTAATTGTATCTCAAATCAAATATCAAATAATCAAATAAGCTGGCACTGGCATTTCCAAACCCCAAAGACATAGAATGAACTTCTCATTTGGATGGAAATGGACATTTGGATTCATGTTATAAACCAATAAACAGAAGTCAACACAAGTTTTAAAATGTTCCCACTGGCACAATAAATAGTTTTTTGCTTGGCTGTTATGTTTTACTTGCTTTTATTTATGGCTAATTTGCAAGAAAAGCCGTTCCAGCATCATACATAGGAAATTGTCTCTTTGTGTTCAGCAGTGTCTCATATAGTGATGTTTATTTATTTTCACAGATGCAGGGGCAGGATGTATAGGATTAGAGTGAGTTTAGTTTAGGTTCATGTCAGGGTTATTCATGTTATTTTTAATTGTTAAGGTTGAGTTATGGCCACAGGAAAAGACAAATTCATCCCATGTTTTTGTTTTGACTTGTGGAAGGGCTAAAAACCACCATTAACAAAAACACTTCTGTTAATGCAGCCACAGCATGTACACACTGCAACACGACTAATTGGTTTGGGTACAATGTATGCAGCAAATAGCATGTCTCTAGAGTCCCCCTTGACTCTGTATTTGCACATAGCTCTATGGAAATGCCACAGCACAGTAATTGCCTGTTGTCATCTCAGTACAGACCAGAAGGGAACCGCTTTTCACAATAGAGACAAACCATGCCCAAGCCATTAGCCTGTAATTGCATGTGTGAAGGCTGTTGTAAAGACACGAGCACTGCCCTACACGTGCATTCTCTGAAGCCATAGGCTGCAGGCTGGTGATGGAGGAGGTGTGTGTTTGGAAGGAGGCTCTAAGGACAGGGGATCCTCTGAGACAGTGAACTGTTTGCTACTTTCCTGTGAATGTTGGTTATCTGTTACCAGTGTTGGGAAGTTACTTTAACCAAGTAGTGTTTGCTTGTTACTCATTACTTCTTTAAAAAGTAATCCCTTATTTTACTTAGTTACCCCCTATGGAAAGTAACTTTTTGCATTACTCGTTACTTCATCATCACATCATGACGTGATGTGTTATTTCTTTGCCTTCACTATTCCTCAGTATGGAATTAAACATCTGTCTCCATGATGACGGGATTTTAGGATTTTAGCATATATTACTTACTGAGAGCAGGGTCACTTAATGCACAGATCTGACCTGTAAATTCACCTAGTAGCATCACTTACTTGACTCTAGCATTTCCACGGAGATGAGCAGATGACATTTCACCAGAAATGTTTTGCCTTGCACCTTTATTAAGCAATACAACACGTGTAAATAGGGACGTGTGCTGGACCCCGGACCCTCCACCAAAAAGACACATAGTGTCAATGAATGTTGTAAAGAATAAAATTGTATAAAATAGGTAAATACTGACATTAGAATTTTCATTTCCATTAAACACTGCTGTAAAACAGGATCAGATCGTCTATTTACCATAAGGTGACCGTGTCTAGGTCACACAAAAAGTACCGAGCTGAGATCAGTGTTTTGACAAAGGAAATATCGCCATCGCGTGGTAGTTTTGAGTTATTACACGTCCAGCTTTCTCAACCATTTCTTGTAAACCAACCTTGTGACCACCTACAAGGCTTTCTATTGGCCAAAACACACATCATTCACCCAGATACGCATTCTGATTGGCTGTTGAAAACACCAACAACCAGCAAGTCTTTGTGAAGGATTTAGAGCGCTTAGCTTTAGCTATGTGAATGTGTATGGCGTGAATTGGACAATCAACAGGTTAGTGATTGAGTTTACGCATTCTGCCAGAATATTGCAAGAAGATACACATACATGCGCAGATGTTAATACACAAATTGCGCTTTATGTGTTCGGGTTTCGAGTAGCATAAGCTCTTCATCTTTGCTAATTAGCGTCCACGTACAGATGACAGTTTTTTCACTGAATGGCTGACGAATGAAGAGTCGTGCATCTGGTTTCTGTCACGTCTCTTCTCAGTCGTGTCTATATAAGCTCACAGTCTAGCTAAAATAATTTAAATGTGGCGGTTTGTGTGATTTTGTAATGACGCCGTGGGAGGCGCAGCGTGGAGCCAACTCTACGTCCTGTTACTAGGCAACCGCACATAGCGCGTGATATTCCTGCGCTTTTCCTCCGGAGCTCGTTCACTTGATTTCATCTCCAGGTGATTATTGTACTTTCAAATGCACATTGGCATTTGTCTTAATCGCAGCTCACGACAGAAACTGTTGATGGGAAATAAATGAGCATCTTAAGGTAACGTTATATTGCGCCCAGCCAACAAATACCCATAGAAAGAGCAAAATGTGTTCGGATCATGCTGCTAATGTGATCTGCGACTGTTTACATGGGACAGGTTTGAGAAAATGAGATGCTATTTTGTGTCTTCTTGGGCTATCTACCTGCTAACACAAATCGAAACCTAAAAAGGACATCACATGCTCTGGTTTACCGAGTCTCCACTGCCCTCAAATGACGTTTTAACCAGATCAAAGGTGACCTTAGCTTCACTAATAAGAGTCTTCATACCATGTTTTCGATTTCAATATGGATGTAAGATCATTCTGAACGCAAACCATGCTTTCTCCTTGTCACGGTTTTATGCCCTGTTTACTAATCCGATGTTCACGTCTTCTCTTAGGTAAATATCTGAATGGCAGGTAGTGACGCTGCGAAGGCGATGTTGTGCTCTCGAGTACAATGAAGAAAATATTCAACTTTGCCAAGAAGAAGAAGTCATCAACAGGGACCCCCGACAATGGCAGCGTGCTCTCTGTCGGATACGAACTGAAAGACAAGGACCTGGGGAAAGTGCACAAGGCGGCATCTGTGGGAGACTTGGCCAAATTAAAACAACTAGCGACCAAACAAAAAAATGACCTTAATCAGCTGGATAAGGAAAACAGGTACTGAGTGTAGAAGCAGAATTATGAGCTGATCAAATGTTTCCTACAGTATAGTGCCAGTCAAATACAGTGTGAGGGAGCTTATCTGTATGTGTAGAACACTGGGCTGCGCCAACTGCTAAGTGTGAAAACTACCAAGTCAACATTTGACACCTGTCCTGTCCTTATGTTGCATGGTCAGATCCAGTTACTGCTCACAGTAGACCATTGTCTTAAGCAAATGGTATGAATACAGAACACAGAAGATGTGTGGTAATAACACTGTAATAATAATAATAATACAACTAGTCTTGTAGTTCTCTCTTAAATGTATTCAAATAAATATGCATCAGATCTGAAAAAAACAAAGGTTTATGATAAATACATGTAATGACTGTAAATCTACTATAAAAGTACTATTTTGTCGAATATGTTTCACAGCTCATCCAGAACTGAAAAAGCAGCAGTATTCAATCAAAAAACTTTTGTCCTGTTGACAGAATTGAATTTCTCTTTGCCATGGCTCCTACCTGGACAACTCTCATGAATGTCATTTGCTTAGTGTTTTTTTCTCTCTCCTTTCAGAACTGCACTTCATATTGCCTGTGCTGCTGGACATGTTGAAGTGGTACAGTTCCTTGTTGAAAGTAAAGCCAAGCTTAACCTATGTGACAATCAAATTAGATCCGCCTTAATGAAGGTAATCCCCTATATATATATACTGTACTCATCATTATGCGCACATACTTTCATATTCATCATGTAAAAACCTTGTTTCTGATTGTTACATAAACACAATGTAGTTTCTTGATTGTTCTTTTCATATTTTTTCTTCCCTTTGTTTTTTGTTGTTGTTGTTCTTAGGCAGTGCAGGGGCAGCATGAGAGCTGTATAAACATCCTCCTGGAGAATCATGCTGACCCAAACCTGGTAGACATCAATGGTAACACAGCACTGCATCTGGCAGCCAGCATCCCCTCTGTGTCCACTGCAGGACTGCTCCTGGAGCATGAAGCCAACATAAATGCCCCAAACAAGGTACTGTTCTTTTAAACTGTGATACTGAAGTTAGAACCGGGAGGGTTCAATGTAAAGCTTGACCACACTTTTCAGGAGGGCCTCACACCTTTGACTGTGGCTGTCCGAGAAGATCATAATGAGATGGCAGAGTTTCTTCTAAAAGAAGGCGCAGATGTCAACGCTACTGATGACAATAAAAGGTCAGTAGCCGTTTGTTTATTCACTCATTTTATTGCTCCATTCACAAAATTATATTTAATTTAAAATGAATGTGCAGGTCACCATTGATGATGGCTGCTGGAAATGGCCAGTATGACATGCTTCAGCTGCTTTTACGTTACGAATGCAGATATCACACAAAAGGATGACAGAGGATGGTCTGCTGATGACTACGCTATAAATAATGGTCACCATGCGTAAGACCTTCTATCTAATTCTTTCCTCCCATTCCCATTTTTAATGATGATATAACTTTAACATAACATATTTTATGTTTTGGTAGTTGTTCTCATCTCATCGATAATCATGCTACTCAAAAAAGTGATGGGACGTCTTTATTACATCAAGACCAAGGCAAAAGTAAGAAAAAATTGTCTGGAGCCTCCCAACGTGCCGAGGCGAGCTTCTCTCTGGGTGGACCAGCCATCGACAAAGACGGTAAAGATCATTGAGAAATTATCAAAATGAAACCATGTGGATGAGGCTCAGGTAGTGATGTTTTTTATTGACATTATCTACTGTATTTATTCCTCATGCAATACCACTGACTGGATCTAGAACAAGGAGAAAATCAAGCAGGGGGAGGTATTGCTTTGCTTAGCTATAGTTTAGTAACACAATGTTAAATGCAATTTCTTGCCGTGGCTAATGATTTCCCCAAATGTGAGTGCCATGATGAAGCTGTGTGAATACTGATGTGTTGGGTTTGAGTATTGCGGCTGTGTCAGTCTGCCAGAGCTTTTCAGAATGATAGTGTAGAAAGATTTAATGGAAATTATTTGGACTAATGGTTTTTGCTTTTGCAGATTTTGAGGACATCTCCCAATCAGAGTCTGTGAGTCGGTGAGTAGTAAATTATAATAGTCGAGAGATTCTTAATGGGGGTCATCATGGCTGCCATAATTATGCATATTTCTACATTTTCTTTGTAGATTTATATTTCACTCCATAGACCATATAGCAGTTCTTTATGCAATCAGTGTATTTTTCTCTTATCCATTGATTGAACATGCTTTACTTTCTTTAGTGTTTCCAAAAGTGGTGCTGATGATTGGCCCTCTTCAGATAATGATGACGAATCTCCCATGATTCAAAAGGTCTGTTTTGATCATTGGGTATTGGGCTGTGTACTACAGTTTTATATCTGCCTTAACCGCATCTTTGTTTTTGTATATTTTCTTCAGAAACCCAAGAAATTCAACCTAAGACAAATGTTTGCATCCAAAGCAGGAGGAGGTACTTGACACATCACATCATTTAATATACTAAAGCAAGTATGCAGTGTTGGATTATGGTAGAAACAAAAACAGATCACACACACATTGTTATCATTATACACAAAGTAGGACAAATACTGTATACAAATAAATGTGTGGAACTGCACAGAATACCAGGTGCTTTTTTTAGCTGTGTTTGAAAGAGTTTGTAAGAGATCAACAGGGTAGTAAGGAACTTCCAACACAGTGAAGACATTGCATGTCCTTTTAGTCTTTTTACCATAGTCCAATGTAACACTGACTTTTGTCAAATCCTGGTAGGACCTGTATCATAGACTGTAGAATTGGTGATTCTTGAGATTGGGAAAGCGAGTCCTCTCTGAAACACAGCAGTTTGTAAAAAACGTAATCACAATATCATAATTGGCATACTTACAAAGTTAAATCTGAGGGATGTTCTTCGGGAAGGCTCAGAGAGTGCATCTGCTCAAAAAACTTTGAAAAAACTTACGTGAATAAAATTGCATTTGATTGAATTAAAAGACTTTAAATACTCAAAAATGCATTAGGTGAACTTGTGAAATCTCAGTGTGAGATTAAAGAAAATGTTTTACTATATATGTATGGCATATTGTACTTGGGCTGCAAAATGTATCACAGTCAAATTGTAATTCCTTTGTTATACAGTATTTACGTATCAAATCACAAATACTGCCATTATTTGGGGGATTAAAGTTCCACAAAATAACCTCTTGTATGGAATTATATTGTGTTAATTTAGCTAGCAGTTTAAATTTAAATTTTCTCTCAAATGTTACTGTGAATTTTACACATGCACTGTGTACTGAATCTGGTTGCGAAATCATAAATTGCAGATCTAACACATTTTGCAATTAAGGCAAAATTGTGCAGTTCAAATTTACAGTTGTGTACAAATGTAAAATTTAAACTTGTAAAATGAATACTACAGTAATTTCCTTATGGAATAGTGTATAAATGGTGCCGCATATGTTTGTGTACTTTACTTTTTCTAGTTTTGTAGTAGTTCTGTAATTCCCTTTTTGTCCCTGTAGCCTCGGCGCAGCTTGACACTTCTCTTAGTGGTGTAGAGTCTGAGCCCGAGCCTGAGCTAGTCCCCCAGACCGCTCCACCTCTCCCCAAGGCCTTACCCTCCACCAGCGCCCCATCCAACCCAGTAGACCCCCACCCAGAGACGCTCCCTTTCAAGCCCCCACGGATGAGCTCCACCCCTCTGTCCAGCTACAACAAGGTAACATGTGTTTTCTTTCTAAAGCTTGTCTTCTATCTTTTTCCGAAGCGTTTAAACTAACAGGAAGTAGAGCTAAAAAGGAGAAAGGTGCCATGTCTGAGCAACCTTCGTGCAGTAAAGCAGCAATGGAGGACAGCTCAGATGAGGAAGAGGAGGAGAACGAGGATGACGATGAAGAAAGTGACGAGGATGAGGAGAGCGAGGAAGACGAGAGCGAGGAAGACGAGAGCGAGGAGGAGAGAGAGGAAGCGGCGTCTACTTCCAGAAATATCCAACATCTTTTTCAGTTCGATTCTCCTAAATCTGTACATACCGCAGACAATCAAAATGAAACTACAAACACTAGCCAAACTTCGAAGGGCAAAAATGAAACTACAGAAACTACTGCTAACATTCAAAGTGAAGAGTTTGACCAACCACATGAGAGTGAGGAAGATGACGAAGATCAGTCTAGTGCAAACAATGACCTTTTAATTGGTTCAGACAGCCAAAATAAAACTGAAATAATAAAAAATCCGGAAAATAGTCCAACTTCAAGTAGTCAAGTAAAAGATAAATCTACTGAAAATATTACCAACTTACAAAATAAAGAGTTTGATTTACTAAAAGACGTGTCGAACTCTCCACAACCAGTCAGACTAGACGTGAAAGAAGACTGCATTGTATCGGCTATTAGGGTAGAGTCTAAGTTTTCCGATGAAGAGGACAGCGTTGGGGCTAAAGCTTGCGTTGAAAATCCACCGAAAAGTGCAGTTAGGCCAGGGAACGAAGAGTCTGATTGGGACAGTCTTTCTGAGGATGAGGATGCCATACCAAGAAAACGCAAGTCCTCATGGGGTTCATCAATAGACAGCGAACCAGAATTACCCGCTGACAAACAACCAAACGATACACAAGAGAGAAGTCATTTAAAAGAGATTACACCACCAGTAGAAGGAGAAGCAACAATGTCAAAAGATGTAGCGGTAGAATTAGCAGCATCTCCCAAGAGCGCAACGAAGCCAGCTGAGTCAGAGTCCGATTGGGATTCGCTCTCAGAAGATGCATCCTCTAAAGATAATTCTGAGAAAAATCACGCAAGTATTCATCAAGAGTGTAGCAGCCAAAATAAAGACATGAGTAAAGATGAAGTAAAAGCAGAAACGTCTTCACAAATGGTTGAGTTGGATTCAAATAAAAAGAACGATTGTGATAGTGAAAGTAGTTGGAGTGATCATGAAGAAAACTTACCAGACACAAACAAGGTCCATCCCACAAATATTGAAACCAGCGAAGATTCAGACAGCCACGATGAAAAAATGGAGTATGATTTTGCGACGGCAACGGCCAAAAGACCAGATGAGGGAGATACACGAGATGCAGCCAGATTGCTTTCCTATGTTCCTTTAGAGGGAGGCGTGGATAATGCTGTTTCAAGCCTCAAATCTGAAGAAAAAGACTGTGACCTGTTTTCTGATGAAGCCCTACCACAAACAGATGTAGATGATGTGGATGTTGATTCACTTGATGGCAGTTTCAATCATGACCACACTAAAGAGAAGAAAACTAAACAATTCAGTCCTAAGGTAACTTTTAATATAGATTAGGGAGTCCAAGTCAAGTTATTGTAGTTATTAGTTCCTGTTTGCTGCCGTTTACTGTTCTGCAGTAGTGTAGTTGGAGTTGTGTTTTGTTTCATTCACTCAATTCTTCAAACACTCTGTTCTACCTTGTGAGGTCAATGGCAATACAGGAAGTGCTCCTGTTGTGTTTTCAAACTTTCACTAGAATCATTTGGACAATTTCAGTGCTGGAATTGCCAGTCTCTACTGAACAAAAAGTAAAAGGACGTGTTAACTTGAAAACTGCCACTTCATGACATCTAAAGGTGAAACAGCATTTTGAGCTTTAGAGATGAAGACAGACAAAAAGGGTTACTCAAACGTGTCAATGAAACAAAACCTAACTCTTTGTATGTTTATGATGAATTAATATTTTAACATGGTTTAAATATGTGTCTTGAACATAATCTGTTACATGAATTTGTGAAATAGCTATAAATGGTAAAAAATCTTAAAACTCCTTTGTTACTTGGTATTTTTGATGTTAATTTGATGGACTGAACTTAAACTAATAAAAGCACAAATCTACCTGCAGAAAGAAATCTCAACTGATGATGACAGTCAAACTGAAGACTTGGAGGAACAGGGTGAAGAGGAGGAGTCTGAGGAAGAGGAGGAGGAGCCTGAGGAGAGTGACCACTCCCACGACGCAGCTTCCACCATCCCTGAGACGGACACCTCCAAAGACAAAAAGAGAGGTATTCATTTACATTACAACTAGTGTACCTGCACTTAACTTTTGAAGGGTTTCCCATATTCTAGTATATATCAACAAACTGAACTTTATGTGTGAAAACTGTAAAACTGAATCTAAAAGAAATAGTTTCCACAGGATAGAATTATATTTTTCTTAATAATTAAATATATACATTAATTATATTTATATTATTTTATAATATATTATATTATTTAATATTATTTATTTATGTTTTAGTTTTTAAGATCTTGAATGTATTGAATTGTAAGAGTTTTATTGCTCAGTCTGTTGGTCTTCATGGAGATGGTTATATAAATGCCATACCATGGAATCTTCACGGCAAAGCAATAACATCTCTATGAAGGCGAGCAGATGGCAGACTGTCAAGGAAAAATGTCACTTGTGCCTTTTACATGATGTGTTTTGCCATTCACTCACCATAAAAAAAAGAATACTTAATGGATTAGAACTGGGGACTAAGGAACTTGACAGTTATACCTAAATACAGGGAACTTAATAATGTTGACTTACTGTTTTATTAGAAAGAGTTATGAGGTGCTAGTAACAGTAACATGTAAATATTATAGGCAGTTATCATTTAATCTAATGTATCTTGTATTTTTTGTTTTAGATTTCATGTCTGAGTTGGGTCTTAAAAAAGATGAACCAGTGCAGGACTCTTTGGACTCTGAGGTACAGTCTTACACTTTACATTCTTGAAATTTGTCAAATGAATTCTTAAGTTGAATGTTTCCTTTTCTCTGTAGTCTGACTTGGATGATGTCAATTTACTCCATGAAAAGAAAGAAAACAAAACCGTAAATCAAGAGGAAGCACCCACAGGCAAAGAAAATGAAGACGAAAGTGAGTCATTTATACATCTCTCTGTCTATACTTGTTTTAGACTAATTCAGCCATTTCAGGCCCCATTTCATGCTGCAGTTTCCTGTGACCTGCAGACAACTTTGTGGAACATTTGAAACATTTGTTACAACAACTTTATTCTATTTTAAGCCTCTGTTTCCTTCTGTATTGTCAGAAGAAGAATTAACTTTACATAACGTTGCATCTCTCTTGTAGACTTTTTTTATATCCCTTCATTTTTAAGAAGGGAGGGGAGCGGGAGGATGGCTTTACTAGACTCTCGGAGGAGTGTAGACAGGCCCAGAGGCAGCCAGGGAGAGGGTACGAGTGCTTGTTCTACCTCATGAATCAAAGGAACAGCATGCTCCCATTATTCTCAGCTTTGTTTGTCCCATTGTCGTCACGAGAACACTATGCATGGCATGCCCGGTGTAATGCGTACAACATATTTACTGTCATGGCAACCATCGTGCAAACATGCATTAGAGCAGAGGGGTCATAGATTTTGCTTGGATAAAATAGGACCGTCTTAAAGGTACACTATGTTACTTATCTGGTGGAGGGTCTGTGTCCTGGTTATGTCAATGGAAATGTTACTGCTTTGACTCCACAACATGGAATTAAACTTAAACATCTCCACTGAGACGAGCTGGGGACGCCACAAGCCCGTGTTGTGTGTGGGGAGGCAAAATACCTCAAATACCTACAGTTGAATAAATGCAAGATTGACAAGTTTAATGCCATACTGTGGATTATTCTTGGCATATCATTAACATGGATTAACATGGATTATGGAGACAACCCGAGGGCAGACTATCCATCAGTTCCATAGTGTGCCAGTATTTGTGATACTGACATAATAATCTTGAACATCTCACTGTGTGTCAGTGAAAGCTGATTTCATTCTACTTTAGACCATACAAGCTTGACCACGCTCTAACCACACTGTCACAGTGCTTATTAACCATGGAACGCACTGCATGTGAATGTTGTTGGCAGCATTTTGGGCCCAGTCATCTGCAAGTGGACGACAGAAAGCAGTGTATATAAATGTATGCAAAAATAATCTTTGTCTTCTCTTGTAGTTAACAGCAGTGAAGTAACTCATGATCAAGACAAAGAGGATCAAGGGGAAAGTTTACCTAAAGAGGCAAGTTATTGTTTCAAATAAAAAAAATGTACAAAAGATTCAAGAAAATCTAAGATTTGCATTATTTTAGACCGAAAAGGCAAAATGGGAACCACTTTTAAACAAACTGGATGGCGTTCCAGACCAAAAGACAGGTTTTTTTTCAGCATCCTTTTTCATTTAGTCTTCCATTTATACATTTATTTTTATACATATTGGCTATCTTTCTTTTTCAGACTTAATGGAAGAACTGGGATTAGGAGACGCAGATGATCTTGCAGGTGAAAATAACACGAAAGTACAATAAATAAACTGCATCTACATTCAGCTAATCAAGGCATTATGGTACCATTTTATTATAACTGCTCCTTATTAGCCTTAAAGAGCCCATATTACGCAATTTTCAAATCTGTATTAATTCCTCATCACAAACATATCTGGATTTGTTTTGCTTCATTCACACATGTTTAACACACAAGCTATAGGCTGACTTCTCACACATCTTCACTAGAATCATTTGGATGATTTCAGCTCTGGAATTACCAATCTCTATTGAACTAAAGGTAAAAGGTTAACTTGAAAACGACCACTATATGACATCACAAGGAGCTTTTGAGATGTAGACAGACTAATAATAAAGAGTTGTAACAAAACACAACTCCGGGTCTGTTTTTGAGGAGGGAACAACATTCTAACAGCTCACAAGAGGCAGCTCTGTGTAATATGGTTCCTTTAATAAAGCAGTAAAAAGATGATGTAGCTTGTTTACTGCTTAATTAATACCCTAATTTAATAATAATAATAATAATAAATTAGTTGTTACTAAGGCTGAATCATTCTTACTTGCTTATTATGAATATTTTCTTATAATGAAGTAATTTTTTTTATGCTTTATAATAGGTACACTTTAATTAACATTGGTAAAGTGTTAACCGTGTTACTATATATAGGTATATAGGACAAAGGTAAAGTTGTAATATTTTTCTGATCTTCAGATGCCTCCGACTGGGACTCGGCCAGCACCACCAGTAAACACACTCTTCCTGGAGGGCGCAGGATGCCTTCTCCTGGTATCGAGGAGTTCCCAGAATCCCCTGAACCTCCAAAGACGGCGGAGGTCCCTAAAGCTGCTCCACCAGTCACTCCTCAGAGAAGCTTCAACTCCAGATCAGCTAGCACGGCCTCTCCAAGCGCCCCCCACCCACTGCCACGGGCCAGGAAGATCACCCCCTCCAAATCTGACAGCCAAGATGGTGAAGTCCAGTTTTTTTTTGTATTTTGAACCAGAAATAAACAAAGATGTACTATTTTGTATTGAAAATGACTGTCGAGTATTGGAATTGAGTTTGAATTATTGTATCACCAAAAAAATTGTAACCCAGTGATATTAAAATTTCCAAGTTTTTTCCATGGTTTGAATTGGCAATCAAAAGCTGCAATTATATGGACTCACCTCTCCGATAACTTTTACAAACAACAAAATATCATCTGTAATCACCCAGTCATCCAGGTTGATCCCATCGCACATGAAGGTTAAATTATGTCAACTGGATGAAGACGCCACTTGGGTGAAATGTGTCCTGTTGACATAATTTAACCTTCTTCTGCCTTGTTTTATTAAGTAACACAAACTAATCCTGATGTTTAGGCCTGCAGCCTTCTGAAAACTTCTAATACTTAAGCTGTTCATTCAGTCTCAATTTAAATCTTCTTTCTTTACTGTAGGCTCTGCGTATGCAGATGGAAAAACTTGAATCACATTCATTCATTCTTATTTGTTTTTTGTTTTTTTGTTTGTCTTCAGAGTCAGACTGGGACTCCGACCGGCAAAGTGACAATCACATGATGGAGACAGTTTATCAGGAGGCCTTAGATCAAGCAGGTGAAATTGCTTCTAATTAAATAAATACAGTTACCAGTAGGTTGAATTTATATAATGTTCTTTAACACTACCTTTTTGAATCAGATTCCCCAGAGCCAAATGCAGCAAGAACTGAGTGTCCTGAAGAGACTGTGGAGCAGGAGGAGGAGGAGCCTGTGGTGAGGGGGAAATATATTTGATTATAATATTGTTCTAGTAACACTATTTTAGGGTACGCTTATTAACATCTAACTACCTGCTAATTAGCATAGTTGTAGATGGTTAATTTGTCACTGTATTTTCTGGACTATAAGTCTCATCAGCCAAAAAATGCGCAATGAAGAAGAAAAAAAAACATATAAGTCACACCGGACTATAAGTCGCACTTTTTGGGGAAATGTATTTGGTAAAATCAGAGACGAGGAATGGACATTTCATCTTGAAAGGCAAGTTCTAGTAATAACAATAGAAGAGAGAACAACAGGCTGAATAGGCGTTAATATGTTAATGTTACATATTAACAGTTATTTAGATCATTATAGCATAAACAACAGAACATAAGTTTACCAAACTCACGATCTCACTCCAAATCACTAAATCCATTGAATTCTTCATCCTCGATGTCACTTCTGCATGACCTCCAGAGACAAACCATAGATCCATGATGTAAACAGAGCGCCGCTTCTTCTTCTGTGTCGCTGTCGTCAGACTCAGCATCAGTTCCAGTTAGAATTATTCCGGCCTTTCTGAATCCCGACAGTTTGGTTTTGATCATCATTGAAGTTCAGGCTTTGTCGATTCATCCACTGACTTCCAGGAAAGTTTAATGGCGCACCGGCTGGTTGCAGTGCTCACAAGTTTCTCGCTCACTCCAAACTTTCTTTCTGCTGCTCGATGACTGTTTTCGGCTACATATTTCACTATTTGCAGTGAGACAGTGGCTATTTCTACAGGAGGCAGGCGCAGTAGAGTTTGAAGTGACAGTGGTACAGGAGTAAAAGTAGTACTAGATACTGACACACAAGCCTAGAGCGCCCTCTCGTGGCTGTTGGTCTGGAAATTTTAATATATAAGTCACACTGGAGTATAAGTCGCAGGACCACCCAAACCATGAAAAAAGGGCGACTTATAGTCCGAAAAATATGGTAATTAGTATTTATTCAACCCTTATTAATGTCTAGTCCCCAGTAACCTTATTCTGCTATTACTTAGACATTTACAAACACTTTCCTATTAATACACTCCTTATTACTGATTATTAGTTTGATACTAGGCCATTTTTGTCCATGAATTAGGATTCTAATAAGCTTTTGGCAATAAGCGTGTTGTTAAGCGCTAATAGCACAAGAAATGTAGTTTTTACTTATTTGCACTTAATACATTTAGCTCATTCTTATGTAATAAAACACTGTATTAGGTGTTAATAGAGTCTAACTAACCATGAATTAAGTCATTAAGGTCTGAATATGCTCCTCATTCTAAAGTGATGTTTTGATCATAACTAAGAAATTATGAATTTAACACAAATTGAAATAAATATGGTCCCTCTTCTAAACTGGTCTCTACTTCATGCTTAATTGTAACATGCATATTAATATTTCATATATGAATAGGTAGTTGTAAATAAAATAAATATGAATAATTACATTGTTTTCAAGTATATTCTTGTCTAGGTCACCTTTACCTCTAACAAATGAATTATAATATGCCTATTTGAATATATTTATTTGTTCTAAATAAGATAAATGTTTTAAATGAAATAAATTATACTTTAATAAAAGCATAATACATGGATTAAGGGTGAAGAAGAGAGCGCTTTAGAATAGGGACCATATTTATTTCAATTTGTGTTAAACTCGTCATTTCTTAGTTACGATCAAAACATCACTTTAGAATGAGGAACATATTCAGAGCTTAATGACTTAACACATGGTTAGTTGGACTCTATTAACACCTAATAGAGAGTGTTTTGTTACATAAGAGTAAGCTAAATTTATTAAGTGCAAATAAGTAAAAACTACATGTCTTTTGCTACTAGTTCTTAACAACACACTTATTACCAAATCAACAACAACACGCTTATTACCGAATCCTAATTCATGGACAAAAATGGCCTAGTATCATATTAATAAGCAGTAACAAGGAGTGTATTAATAGACATTTATAAACACTTTCCTAACTAATAGCAGAATAAGCTTATGGGAATTAGACATTAATAAGGGCTGAATAAATACCAATTAATTAATATTTGTAGTACATATTCATAATTATTAATTATTGTAATATTTTACTGACATACATACGTTCATTTCTGGGCATTGCATCTTGCACGGTTAAGTATTTTAAACTCAACCTCTTTGCCCTTAGTCCACCCTACTAATGTGACATCTTTGCTAAGGAATCTAACTTTAAACAATAGGCAGACTTTTTTGTCCAAATCTGAATTAAATTAACTTAACTGAAATAACTGCACTGGTGTTAACATACATTAACATGCATGCCTGTTACGTTTTCATTTACCCTCAGCTTGTGCATATTTTTGTCTGTTTTTGTTCGCCCCATCCCCACCAAGGAAAGAGACGCTGGTGCAGTAGCTGTAGGAGAGCTAGATGTAGACCCCCCGCACCCCTCCTCCGCCCAGCCCGGCTTCGACAGCGACGACAATTATACTTTGAGTGACCAAGATTATTACGAAGACCGCGAAGAAACTACTGACTCCGCACCTTGGGAAAAGCGCTATGAAAAACTCTGGGTAGATGTTGAAAAAAGAGAAGTTAAAACCACATATAAAAGTGTCACGGCAGAATTAAAGGCAAGATTTGGAGAGCTTTTTAAATCTAGACGTAGTGGAACAGACGATGACGAGGAGGAAGAAGAAGAAGAAGAAGAAGAAAAGGAGAAGTATGAACCAGCACCAGAGACATCCAGTGACGAAGATGAGGGAGATGTTGTAGTTAGGCCCATAGCAAGAGCACGACAAACTAGTCGACTTTTAACTATACCAGAGCAAAGAGAGTCAGGCTTAGAGGACTCAGAATCGGCTGATAACTCAGTGTGTGAACAAGTCTCGAACAACTCCAGGTATGAGCAAGGTGACCCAGAAGAGGATGATGAGAAAGGGGAGGCCAGTTCACCATCGCCGCGACCTAGAAAAATCACAACTGCTAGTGAAGGTAGCAGCTTTGCACAACTAGTCCCCCAGGATTTCACAGAAGAGAATCAGGCCAGGACAGCTTCACCATCTCCTACAGAAGATGGTGCTGTTTCTCCAGAAGATTATAGGCCTTCATCACCACCACTATTACAAGACAATGCCCCAAAAGCAGATTTAAATGTGAACGACGAAGCTGAAATATAAAACGAGATGAAGAGTTTGAAGATGTGTCCAAACAAAGCAGTAGTAGTAGTAGTTGTAATAGCAGAATCACGGAGAACAGAGTAGTTTCTCCACCCCATTTAGAAGCAACAGTTGCAACTACTTCTGTTGCAAATGAACAAGAGGAATATCAGACTTCATTAACAAGCTTAAAAGAAGCTATTAAACTGGATCACTCACCTGACATGGACACTTTTAGCCAAGATGAAGATGTTAGTTCAGAAGGTGCAGAATCCTCAAAGAACAACTTACCACCTCCTCTTGAAGTTACTGACAATAGTGATTTTATAAAAGCCGCTAAACTAGACTTAAATTTGGACAAACCACCTACACTTGATGATCTAGAAACATCTGAGAAAAAAGAAAAAGAGCTTGAGATGTTATCCAATGAAAATCCGTTAAAAATGTCACCGCCTTCAATAGAAGCTTCAAATGCGACTTTGACAACTGAACCTGACTTGGAACTGGAGCCCAACTTGTTAAAAGACTGTTTGAAATCATTTGATGAAGCTGATGACACTAATGTGAATTTGGAGGAAGAAAACTCGGACTTTGTCGAGCCCCAAGCCCCTCTCACCCAGAGCCGAGGGTCTGTGTCCCGGACAGCGGTGTCTGACGAAGAGCTGGAGGAGGACATGGAGAGGTTTAAACAGGAGGTAGGGATGCTCAAGGTTGTCTTCAGGGATTTGGAGAGAGAAAAGGCCCAACTTCAAAAAGAGGTAGAGGATGGTCCGACAACTTCTCGTGTAGTCCTTCTTTATAGAGTTCCCTTTCTGTCACTTTACTAGAGTTAGCAAGTCCGTCTCTTGAGATGTTTGTTGTGCTGTTTTGTGTGCTTTGACCATAGGGCTGCTCCATATTGTATAGCTCATGATATACAATGTATATCTTGATATACCGTTGTTTGGTTTGCGGCCAAAATTAAAATAGAATTAGGTTATAATGAACATTGCATCTGATTTTCATGTAGTGTAATGCATTTAATTGCTATTGTTAATGCTTTTTCAAGCTGTTGTGTTGGAAATGGGTTTCATAAGCTCCAGCTCTGTGAAGCATGAAATAATGAATGTATTTTAGTATTATGTATGTATTTAAAGTAAGTTAGCACCATTATCTTTTCAGCTGTGATAGGATTTTTGTTGCATGAAGTGTAGCATTTTGCATGTAACTTTGTGTGAACACTTCAGCCTTCTTTTTTTTTTTTTTATAAAAGAAGTGCCTTGGCTTTAGTTATTCTCATTAATTCTTTGTGTTATTTCATTGGTTTGTTGTGTTTTAATTCTAAGATGTGCGTTTAAAGAAATTTATTGTTCTTGTTGGAGCTGTAGTTGACATTGAAAAAGGCTTTTTTTTCTTTTTTAAACAGCCTAACTACCCTGTGTAAATGACTAATACAGCTATAGATGTTGCAGTGCACATATCTTGCTTCTGTTTAATTAACTCAAAATACTTCACCCCATGAAGTAACCGCTGGAAGGTGTTAGGTCTCCATCGGCACGAGCCATACTAAATTATGAATGACAAAGTGTACAACTACATGCTCCAAAACGCATCTTAAGAAGCCGGCCTGGGCTTTTCCATGTGGAGATTAATTTCTTCATCGGGATCATGAAACACCTGCTCTTCTTATTGCAGGCACGCAAAAACATCACCATAGAGACGGCAGCGGAGGAGCAGCGTCTGTCCACATCCCAAGAGCAAAGTCCCACTCAAAATGTGGGATCTGGGAAACCTGAGCCTGGAAGAGGATTCAGGGAAGAGTTGACAGAGCAGACACCTCCACAAGAACACAAGCCTGTGGCCAGTAAACGGTAGGCATTTGACTTTGGCTTTATTTTGTTCACTTTCAACTTTTCTGCCTGCAACTTGCTCTGTAACACATTTCCTCAATGGGATTATAGTCAGCTCTTTACTGCTGTTTATTCAGAACCAAATGTATTTTTTCTCTGATATAAGCAGTACAGATAGATCTCCTGTTATTGTTTAGCTCATCATCAGTTCCAAAGAGCTATTGTCTACGGGCCCAACAACAGTATGTATTGATCTGATGGAGGTTAGAACCATCAACTTTTGGGTTGGGTGAGCATTAACCACAGAGGCAACATTTTAAACTCCCATCAACTAATGACTCGGGGCCCCTCTTCAGACCATATGACTCTTTTTGCTGTTACATGTTAAGTAAAGTCACTTACCATCAGGTTTATTCTTCCTCTTAGCACCAACGGAGCCCCAGCCCAGTCCTTCTGTCCCCAGATGCACCGCAGCAGGAGACAGCACCCTCAGGACGCTCAGGAGCCCAGAGCACAGGGCTTTAGACATGTTAATGGAAACCCTCTCTCTGTGTTTGACGATAGCTCTTTAAGTGACGTGTCCGAGGATGAAGGAAGGTATAAATGCAGTATACGCCGCTCCTTACCTCTACTGCTACTAACCCTTAAATGTTATGATTCAAAACATTATAGTATGGCATGAAATTTCTTTTTTTTAAATTTTGAATCAGAACTAAATTAATTACATCCAATGGGAGGCTACAGGGGTGCACATTTCTCTTCTGTCCAGCATGTTAGTTGCTGCATGGTTCATACTAAACTTTGGTAAGACTTTAAAAGGATCACACACGGTTAAGCACTAGTTAAACTTTTAAACTATAAAAGCTTTGCTATATATGGGTATAAAATTATGAACACTGTGTGATGCCTTTGTGAAATGTAAATATATCGAATAAATAATCTCTGTTGAATCAGGTCTTGCTTATAGTTACAGTGCATTTTATTTTTAGACTTCAAGAGCTTAATTGTGTGTGATAATTATAAAGTGCTACCTAGAATTTTCCAAACTAAATATACTGCATTATACCAATATGACACTTCAAACTTACCTGGTTTAAAATTATTTACGGTCTATAACTGCATTTTCTGTTTTTTCTCTTCCATTTAAACCAGAATGCCAAAACAAGTTCAGAAAAATGAGGTAAAACATTATTATTGCTTTCGATGTATTTAGAATACAGTTTTGATGTTATCTGTGTGGTGTTTTCAGCATTCTGAGGAGGTGGAGATGGCGGAGGACTTTGATGATCTGACTCAGTCCTCGGACACGGCCACGGACGACCTGGACTCTCCGTCAGCAGGATACAGACACGCCGCTCTGCTGGTGGACAAGCTCGACTCCACCTCTCTGGGTAACACATTTGTCCTTAAACATTTAAAGCAGCACAACCCTAATTTTACTCATACATAAAACACTGTTGCCACTTCATATCTTACCGTGACACTTCACTTTATACCTGACCACCAAGTAAGAATGACGACATTGATTTTGACAGTGAACTTAACCACTACACTCATGCTTTTACCTGCATTCATATTTGTTAACTTGTATTTTTAGCGTACCTTGAATTTTTCTGAATTTACAGTCCTTGCTCTTTGTAGTTTAGCAGTTTAGCATATTATTTAGCTTCATTTAGTTAAGTTTTAGTGTGTTTTTAGTGATTAGTTTGATAAATATAGTGTTGAATTGTCCTCTTTAAAGTAAGTAAGACATTTAATGATTATGACTCCATCTTAAAAGAGCAATATTACTATGGAGAAAAAGAAGGTTTTGGATTGCCCAACAAAAAATGTTAAATACAACCATATACAACCTGTTTGTATGTTTTATCTTGTAGACTCCAGAAACATGGTGAAGCTACAGAACATTTTCCACGAGTACGAGCGCACCATTCAGAAGCTGAAGAGCCGCCACAGTTACCTGTCCGACAAAGTGAACCAGCTGGAGATGGAGAGAGTGGACATGAAAAACTCACTGGAGGAAATCAAAGAAGTCAAGTCCACCCTGGAGCGCAACCAGCTCGAACTACAGACCGAAGTCACTAACCTCAAGTAAGACATGCCTACTACAGTTAAACCATTATTTGGAGGATAACTGTTTAGTTTGTTTGCTAAAAACAAACAATAACCCACCAGTCAGCACAATTAGTTGATTGTTTTTCGTGATAAAACGTCTTTGTATGTCTGTAGTCTGGATAACAGTTAACATTGATCAGAATTGTTAATTTTGTCCATTATTTCTATAGTTCATAGAAATCTTTATTATGTTTAGTCATTGCATCCCAAAATATAACCCATTTTCATAATATTGGTTAATTTTACAGTTTCATTTATTTTGTATTATGTAGTATTGAAACATGACTGCTGTAAATTCCCTGTGTAACTGCTAGGTCAGTAATGGTTTAGTTAGTTCAGGTGTTCCTAGGGGTCCTTGGCAGCAACATGATAACTCTTTTACTGGTACCATGATAACACTGTTACTTCTGGCCTTACTGCTGTAGCTTCAGATCATTACTTTAACCTTTAACCTATCTAAGTCTGTGTCTATGAGAGAGGTGGGTTTGTAAATATTCATTTACTTGTTTCTTCAATTGTTATTTAATATTTTGATGCTAATTAACTTGATTAACGTGATACATTTACATATTTTGTGTGATTGCTGATGTAAACTCAGTAAACAGTTATTCATAGGCTGATTTATGTGTGTGTAATTTCTGTTAGTATTATGATTTAAATGTGCGTAGAGATAACCTGATGAAATGATAGACAAATGAAAAGATACAAGAAAGGGCATTAAAGCTCCACAAATACATACAGTTGTTTTAATTTACTCTCTGACCGGAGTATTGTTTAGATGAAGTGTTCGAGTACACAATCTACTGTCCTAAATATTTACAATAATGACAATAGTCTAGTTCACAGGTGTCAAACATAAGGCCCGGGGGCCAGATCCAGCCCTCCGAGACCTTTAATGTGGCCCTTGGGTGATTTTCTACAAAAATATTTTAATTATATTTTCTTTTAAAATATTGGTAATTTTCTGCGGTGCTTAACATCACAACGTCTCCAGTGTCTCTGTACGTGGCCCCTCCCACCAGAGCAGCACAAATGAAGACTTGTCTCTTTCCAAAAGCTCTTAAAGGACGATCGTTTTGACTGTTGACCGTGACACCCTCATCAGAAAAATGTCCAACATGACAAAACCGAGTGCAGGATTTTCCACGAAAAACTGACTTATTCCTGTTTGCATACAAGTTAATGTTAAAACATTGTGTTGAAATTGACTTTTTCTTAAAGTTTCAGGTTGTTCATAATATTATAATATTATAATAAGAAAGAGTTCATCAATTAAAAAAGATTTCTGTAATAGATTTGTGTTTCTCTGCACAAATATTTGAACTTATTGTTATTTTTGGGGTTTATATGACATGAGTTTTCTGATCCGGCCCCTTTGGGATCAAAGTAGGTTGGATACTGCCCCGGACCAAAATGAGTTTGACACCCCAGGTCTAGTTGGTTGAGACACTGAGACACAAGGCACTGTTTGATTTTTGATTTTTGATTTTTTGATATCAGTATGTTAACCCACTTTCTGGTACCGATACACTTTAACTTCTGTGAATGAATGTGTTGTGACTGGTGGTGGGCAGACAGGGTTTCAGTGGTGACGCGATACCACAGAGTGCTGCTGTAAATGAAACTATACTAGTGTTCTTGTACACTTGTAAAGTCAGTTTCTATAAATTGATTCCATTGTCATTTTGATTGCAGATTTCAGCTGAAGCAAGAGCAGGAGAACCGCCGTAATGCCACAATGATGTACAACACCACTAAAGACAAGCTCAAGAGGACAGAAGAGCAGCAACAACTGGAGGTCCAAGAAAAACAAAAGGTGGAACTCACTCTGAGAAACCTGGAGCTGGAAATGAGGACTCTGGTCAACAACATGAAGCAGGCAAGTCATATTAGTATATTGGGCGTGTTCTGAATGTAGGTCTGTAGTGTAATGTTCAGAAGTTACCAACGCACAGACTAGTAAACACAGCCAAAACTGTTTTAAGCCTGTCTGAAAACTCACAAAAGTTTCAGTAGCCTGTGATCAACTGAAAAACTGTTGGCTAATACTAACTGGATTACAGCTGTGACTTTATTTGAGAGGGACTTAACAGTGCAAATCAACACACCTGTTCTAGTTCCAACTAAGACAATTCTTTATGGTCAGATTGTGTTCAAACGAAGCTCAGAATAAAGTCTAACAAAGACAGAGCAGTGCTTACAATCGGTATCACATTCCAGGAAGTGTTGATGAATTCAGGTGCAATGTATAAAGTTTTATTATAATTACAACCTAAAGCAGCTTAAAGCAGCTCTGCTTGTACAAGTGTCTCCATGGCCGAGCACCAAAGTCCATCTGTGACATGTTAGTGTCATATGAACCATCTCACACTCTGAGGAGCTCAGGGACCTGCCTCCTGCTGGTGCCCAGAGTCACGACTAAACAAGGAGAGTCAGAGTTTCAGGTTCATGCAGCTAAAACCTGGAACAGTCTGAACATGTGAGACAGACTCTTCTGTGACGCTGTTTAAATCCAGACTCAAAACATTTCTGTTTAACTGTGCATATAACTCAAAGGTTTTCATTCCACACTCTTCTCTCCAATTTACAATCTTTTTAAATTTTAATCTTCATGATTATTTATGTTTTAATTTGTTTTTATTATGATTTTAATGTATTTCTTATTCTGTAAAGCACTTTGAATTACTTTGTGTACGAATTGTGCTATACAAATAAACTTGCCTTGCCTTGCCTTACAACCTAATTAGTTATAATAAAGTGTTGCCGTGTAGTTTGACTTGGTTTAATGGTGGATAATATGTGCTTCTGTAGCTCGAGGAGGACCACAGTGAGACTCAGAGGCTGCTGGCTCAAGAGCGCAGTGCACGGGCTCTTCAGGAAAACCTCCTCAATGGACATTTGCGAAAACAACAGGAGATCGAGGCGGAGAACAAACGGAATATTAGCAAAAGCAATGAGGTACTAACTCTTTAAAAATAAATCTATAAGAATTCTGCGAGATTAAGAGCAATCAGATCAGTTGCAATTTGAATGGATGCAGCTGACAACTGACAACACCTTCGCTTTGTAAATTAAATACTGTAGTAATTTTCTGGATGCTTTTAAAATGTGAAATCACAAATCTTATCTTTTATCAGAAAAATCATAACAATAAGCAATAACAAGTAACAAAATCCAAATATAAAACTTGAGTAAAATGTATTTTGGTCCAGGCTTTGTCTCAGCTCACAGAGGCCAGTGACCGGGAGAGAGAGCTCCTACAGCAGACGTCCTCACTCCAGGAGCAGATCAGCATCCTGAGAGCAGACCTAGAGCGCTCTCAGGCCAACAGCAGCCTGAAGGAGAGCCATCTTCTGGAGGAGAATGAGACCCTCAAAGAGCAGCTAGAAGATTCCCGCAGAGAGGTGAAAGCAAACAGTGAAGCCCTCACCCAAACAGTGTTCAACTGTAATAACCAGCTCACAACACTGAAGTCTGAACTGGCCATCACGACAAACCGCTTTGAAAATGAGAAGCAGGCTCGAGAAACATTGGAGAAGGAGGTGGAATCAACTCGTACTCGTCTGACTGGGGCCGTGCAGGAGGCCGAGCGGTGCATGGCAGCCACCGCAGACACTGAAAAGGCTCTGCTCAGAGAGAAGGAGGAGAGCCAGAGGCTGAAGGACAGACTCACAGGTCAGTACTGACAGTCTGTACTATTTCATTTGTTTAGGTCTTTATTTAGATTAATCTGAAAAATCCTGTTTCTAGCGGAGGGTGCCAGTCACCGTGAGGCCGTGAGCACTCTAACTCAGAAGCTGTCCAAAGCAGAGGCCCAGGCCAACAGTCTGGAGAACGAGGTGCACAGAGTCACGCTGCAGCTCACAGAGAAGGGGCTGCTGCTGGACGTTCTGCAGAAGGAGAAGGACGCTCTGGGGGCAAAGGTCAAAGATCTGGACAAGGCTCTTCAGACTCAGAAAGAATTAGCCACAAAAACAGGAGCACGCCATGAGGCGACACAGGAGCGTCTGGCCCAAGCCCAGAGTGAAGGCATGTTACTACGACAACAGCTGGAGGAGGCTAATAACAAAGGAGACGCCAAAGAGAAGGCTGTGACCCACGCACAGGAGCGCTTCAGTGACATGTTGTCCAAGCTGCGCTCTGACTGTGAGGAGAGGGTCCAGCTGGTGGAGGAGAGGAACAAGGAGCTGGCCAGTAAGGCTGCAGACCTCAGAGACCAGGTCTACAAGCTAGAGGAGGAGAAGAACGACAGAGAGGTCATCTGTACTACTTTCTCAGAAAGACAAGTCTATAAATTCTCTCATTTGTCAAGAGGGTAAATATTTAATTTGTGACAACATTTTCCCACAGACAAATCTGCGGCAGCTGCAGCAGGAGCTGGCTGACTCTCTGAAGAAACTATCCATGAGCGAAGCCTCTCTGGAGGTCAACACTCGTTACCGTAACGACCTGGAGGAGGAGAAGGCCCGGATCCTCAGAGACTCAGACAGACTCAGAGAAAAGGTACCAGGAGGAGGCTATTATACAGTACATAGTAAATGACTTGTGATTCATGGACTGTGTCTGCTGCAGCTGGCTGAGAGTGAGGACCAGTACGTGCAGGCTGAAAAGCGCTACAACTCTCTGAAGAGCAACTTTGATGATGCGGAGAAGGAACTCGCTATAACAGCTCAGAGACTCCAGGAGGCGCTGTCTGCTTCAGCTGCTTCTGCTGCCACCATCAAACAACTGGAGGAGGCTGTTCAGAGGTACAACAGCAGCCTTTGGTTATGATCCATCTGTGAAGGTAAGCGGGTGAACATTATTTTGATCTTGTACTTCTTCAGGTTGGAGATTGAAAATGCAAAGCTGGAGGCAGCGGCAAAACAACAGTCAAATAAAATTGAAGCTCTACAAAAAGGGGCTCAGGAGGCGGCCTTGGTGAGAGCTGAGTACTTTGTAATAAATGCATGTAATTGCTCAGAGAGGATAATAAGATACAAGAATCTGTTTTAAAATGAGTCCATGTTGGATGTTAAGGCATCTGGTCTTTTTCTAGCTGTCTGACTGGTCTCCTGAGGATGGGGTTGGTATTGTAAAGTAGGATTAGCTTTGTGTGGACTTGCCCTCTTCCTTGCATTTTATTAAAAAAAAAAAAAAATGTGTCTAAAAATCAAATGCTTCCTGGGCCTCTGGGTTCTCTGTGTCTCTGTCTAAAGCTGAAGTAGAAAAAAACAGGTGGATGTAGGGTGTTTTCTCTCTTGTCCAGTCACACTTTTCTTCCTGGTTTTTGAGACACTGTTCTTTATGAGTCAAAGATGCTCGGTGCATGCTGCGATACAATAATAAAATGGATGAGGACCAATCGTGCCCTTTCCATATTCCTGTAGGTCAGGGGTCATTTGGAGGAGTTGGTCACAAACCTCCAAAGCAGTAAGATGTCTTTGGAAGACCAACTCAGTAGAGAGGTTTGTGTGTTTTTTCTTCACTTTCTTTAAATGTCTCTTTTTACACCAGCTTTTCTAGTGTTTTGTGTTGTTTCATAATTTCCCTTTTCACTTTTAAATGTTGGTATTCCATTTGATTTTTAAGCACGATGTGTAATTTCATTCAAGACTTTAAGTTGTATTTGAGAACTGTAATGATTAGATTTGTAATGAGTATGTTTTCTGTAGGTGCAGAGGCAGAGCATGTTGTCACACACAGCCCAGGACTCCCAGGCCTTATGGGAGCAGGAAGTGAAGAGTCGCTCCAAGCTGGGCCTTCGGTTGTCAGAGCTGGAGAAGGAAAAAGGAGAGCTCACCTCACAGGTAAGGAGACAGAAAAAAAATTGGGTCAATTGTTGAAACCTTCTAATGTTTTGTCTTTATTTTGTATTTTGTTGTCACATTCTGATCAATTATATGGATAACAGAAGTCAGAGAACATGTAGTAACTTCCAGCTGTGTCCCCACAATCTATGTACTCATCAATTTCATAGTGTAGGAATTTTGGCTTTATGCATGAATAACCACACTACCCTTTTTAATTAATTATATGTATATTTGTCAACTCCTATAAACTTGTTCCAGATTGAAATAGAGAAGAAAAAAGTAAAGAAAATTTCAGAGCAGAAAAAAGCAGCGGATGCTCGTCTTGACCAAGAGATCAGCAGGAACTCAGATCTGCAGAAAGAAATGTACAGGTGAGCCGACCCCTGACTGACTGTGACACTGGAGTGGAATATTCTCTTGTCACCACTAAATGTTATAGATGTATTTTATTACTATTAGATGTATTTTAGTACTTCTGTGTATTCTATTAAACTATCTGTGTATGCGTAGGCTGCGTACATTATTGAAAACAGCCAAGAAGAAAATGCGTGACCAGGACATGGGAGCAGAGTTTAATTCTCCCATGAACAGTCTGAGGATGGAGATGAGCCGACTCAACCAGGACCCTCGGAAGGTTTGTACTTGTTTGTCTGTTTTTTCAACTGTTTGCTGGGAGATGTTAAAGCGGTCTTGGGTTTTTAGAAGAGGAGCAGGGCAATTGTAGTTCACATTGTAAATTAAAACTGGATTTCATTTTCCACTTGTTTGTCTTTTGTGTGTTCCCATTTTAAATGGCTCCTATATCCCATTCTTAGGGGTCCCTGTAGTGGACTTCCACAAACATGCTCTGAAATGCAATTGTTTTATGAGTTTAACAGTTAAGATTTCTCTCAAATGTTAATATTCCCACGATGGGTTTAAACTGTGCACTTTGAACTACTATTTAAACATTGCTTGGCTCTATATTATCCCTTTGCTTAGAACATAATTAGTGTTCTTTTATTTTTTACATTTTCTATCAACTCTTTTTTGCAGTCCTTTGACAAATAGTGTACTTGTTATACTAATTTTGCAAACAACAATTAGTATTCTTATTGTATTGTCCTTTTTTTCTTCATATCAGGCGGATGATCTCCAGGTGCAGCTGGACAGGGAGAGTCTGCGCCGCAGTCAGCTGGAGAAGGAGAACAGCGACCTGCGGGAGGAGCTAGCGAGCCTGAAACACTCAGGGCAGAACAGGCAGAGGACAGAGGAGGAGCTGCAGGAGCTCAGGCGACAGATAGAGGGCGCACAAAGGGAGCAGAGTCAGGCTGAGGAGAGAGCCAGACATGAACTGCAGCACAAACTGGAGCAGGTCAACCTCTTCCTGCAGGTACAACACTGATGATGTCATGTCCTGTATACAACAAGGCCTGGGGTTTAACAGGAGGTATTTTAGTGGACAAATAGAGAAGTAGGGGTGGACAACGGGCCACTGCAATTAATCAGATTCTAATCCAATTGTGATCAAAATAGAACTGTATTTTTGCTTTTTGTTTTATCCATCAAGATCCAACTGTTGCAAATAGTCAATGATCAGCTTAGGTCTTTAAATTGAAATCAGCCAATTCAGAAGAGCATGTGATTTGGAGAGAAGTTTAGATTTGGGGGAAATAAATATAAAGTCTAAATATTTGCATCCAGTTCTACATAGTCATGAAGAGATTCCATATTTATCCCTGTGTGTCTCTCAGACACAGGCGGCCTCTCAGGAAGCTCTGGACCAGATCAAAGCGGCCAATCAGGCGTCAGTGCAGAGTCAGCTGGAGCAGAGGATCAGGGAGCTGGAGGCAGAAGTGTCCCGGGCGCGCTCCACTCAACAGGACAGCCTGAGCCTGAGAGAGAGCACCCGCTCAGAGCTGGACAGGTACAGGGGCATGTACGCAGAGGAGCTCCGCCTGCGCAAGTCTCTGGCTGCCAAACTAGAAAGGTGATGATAAAACAACTGATACAAATGATACATTGTTTTGATTCTCTATTTGTGCTAGTAGGTTTATCATTTAAAATTATAAAGCTGCTGTGCCCCAGGTTCATTTAAGGTGCACTGCAACATTTCTGGTGGGAGTTTAGCCTGGAATGGACTCTTAACATTTTTTAAATGTGTTATTGCTCCAGAATACTTTGAGAAACATGCATTCTTACTGTGAGCACTCCTGCCTATCCACAGGTCTGACCTGTAACTTGGCCTAGTGGTGCCATCTGTTTGTATTCATCCCGATAAATAAGTCAAATGAAATGTTAAAATACTAATATGAAATGTTTCCTACTGTGTGTACCTTTGCAGCTCACTGTGCTCTTGTCTTTCCTTCAGGGCCAACACTCGTCTGTCAGACGCCAAATCAAAGTTACTGAGTGAACGCAGCAAGTCCCTGATCTCTGGTTCTCTGGTGAACAGCTCTGCTCTCGGGGGCTCTCTGGGTTCATCTCCTGGGCCCCTGGGACTGGACCGGAGTCTGGGTCTGTCTCTGCTCAGTCCCGTGAGCCCGGGACACAGCAGAGGGGTGGAGGACTATCTCGCCAAGGTCTGACCACCACTCACACACTACAACAGTATGAAAGGTGTATCTGGATCCACTGACATGCCCATTGTATCATAGTCCATAGTATTTTGTCATGTGTTTGGTGGCATTCACTTAGGACAGCAAAAGGGCATTTTCATAACCTATTTTAATAGAATTTTGTCTGGAATGTTCCACAGTATGACATCAAACGTATCTGTATACATGATGATACAGGGCCATGTTTAAAAATGTCTGTAATTGAATACGGATATGTTTAATGCTTTACTATGGAAACTTTCTGGCAAACCAATAATGTCTCCATGGAAACAAGCACCACCTGATAAATATCATTGTGCAGTTTCAATAATGATGATAATAATAATACAGGGTGTCCAAAGTATTTGACATAATTTCGCAAGCAATTTTGGCATTTCTTGTTGAAATAACCTCAAATTGGAATCTGCTCGCACACAGATGTGATCCTTTAACCCTGCATAATCAGCCTTCCTCTTTACATTTTTGGTATCAAGTCCAAATTTGTTTGCCAGTTGGTGAAGTTTTTCCAAATGTTGCATTGAAGGCTACACAGTCTTAGGTGAGTGTGTGCCGCAGATTCCAAGAGCAAAATGACTTTACTTTGAGAGTGAACAGCTCAACCTAAAAGGAACAAAAATAAAACATTAAATATAAAATCTTGATCTGTTTCTGTACATTCTGTGAAGATTTGAAGTTATTTCAACAAGTTTTACCAAAATTATTGTCAAAATGATGTAATTTTTTGGGACACTCTGTACATTCAGCTTGTATAGCAGCATGTCTTTAGATTACATTATTCATTCACTTCACGCCTGGTAAAGTTAAGCCTCTTCTGGAGCCACAGCTGCCCTGGGGTAGACTTTTTAAAGCAAGGCTGCTGATCTCAGACCCTGGTCAATCACATGCACGCCACTTTCATACATATGTACACTCACAATGTGAATGAAGTGTGTTGCCTGAGGACACAACAGCAGAGCTAGGATAAAGTTATTCAGCCTCTGTCTCGCACCATTACTAATACACAACCAAAATACTGTATGGAAATGTAGAAATGTGGCATCACGCACAATAGTAAAAGTAGTAGGTCTGTTTTTTCTTAGAATCTGTCCTTGGTGTGTCTTCTTGGTTCATCAGTTCTGCCTCTTGTCTTGTCTGTCCATTAAGCCTCGACTCTCTATAACTTGAGTCTTCTGTGTTTCACTCTTGTAGCTTTTAGCTCAAAAGTCTGTCTCTCACCTCTCCTCTCTTCAGCCAGACTCCTAACAGGTGTGTAGACTCTAGCTCTGTATCCAGCCGCCTGTTCTCACTCAGTCATGACTTTCCCTGTTCCATGAGTAGTGCTGCTTAGAGAAATGTATTTATCTGGACTAAATTATAAAAGGAAACTTAAACACCTACAGTTGGAGGTGGGCAATATGCTGACAGTAATATCACAAATTTCTCACAATGTATATAACTTAATACATCACTGCGGTTGGTTCAATCCACCTGTCTCTTCCTCAGAGTACTGCAGAGACTAACCAGTAGCAGGTGTGAGTGGGAAATAGTTACTCTCTTAAATAGAGCTGTATTCAAGAGACAAACATCACAGGAATTAGATCTCAATTCAGTTTTGTATCTCCCAGCCCTACCTACAATACACATACAACACTAAATATGATTTGTCCTCGGTAGAAAATATAAAACACAATCAGAATAATGTGAAGGTAAATGTTTTAAATCATCACAAATGAGGACAGAAACAATGACAAATTAGCTCCATTTGTTACTACATTGTACTGCATTTCATCCTGAGGCGCTGTAGAAGACCTGCTGTTAGTGGCTTGTTTGGCTCCACCCTCATTGCACCTTTTGAGTTTTATTTTGACTGATTCCTGCATGTTTGAGAAATCCTGCATTGTTCTGCATTTGCATCTATCATCTGTCTCTGTCCATAGCTTAGTAGCTTCTAGCATTTTCTCAAAAAATGTTGACGTCAGATCATACACAAGGAAAAAACACATTATAATAAAAATCAAGGCAAGGCAGGTTTATTTGTATAGTGCAGTTCATACACAAAGTAATGCAAAGTGCTTTAGAGAATAAGAAATGCATTAAAATCACAATACAGACAAATCAAAACATAAATAATCATCATAAAATTTAAAAAAGAAAGAGACATAAATGAGAGAGAAGAGAAATCGTTCAGTCATCTGCAGCTGAACAGAACTGTCTGGATTTAAACAGAGTCAGAGCAGAGGTTTGTCTCACATGTTCAGACTCTTCCAGGTTTTAGCTGCATGAATCTGAAACTCTGACTCCTCGTGTTTAGTCATAACTCTGGGCACCAGCAGGAGGCCAGCCCCTGAGCTCCTCAGAGTGCACATGGTTCATATGGCACTAACATGTCACAGATCAACATGTCAACTCAGTATCTTACTATGGTGAAATGAGGGGCATTTCCAAAGTCAATGGACCCGTTTCTATTATTTAAAAATCTACTGTATAATACTGTATTTTTCGAACTATAACAGGTTAGCCGCTTAAAAGTCTTAAAAAGGTTTTAAATTTCATGTTCCTAAATTAAGGCCTTAAAAGGTCTTAAATTATATTGCCCACATCTTATTTTTTTCACAAACGTCTTAAGTTTAATTTGCCTATTTTTTTGTAAACTCAACTGGGCTGCAGTGCAATGTTAAATGGAGGGAGGAAAAACAACAACGTGAAATAATGTAACATGAATGAACGTCTAATTTGGAGTATGTGCAAACAATACTTTGGTTTTTGGCACCGGCGGCAATGAGTAAACAATCAGTTCCATCTACACTGCCCAAGACACACAACTCTGGTCAGATCTGCTCACATACATCACCACCAAACATCACCACCAAGCCACAATACAATTCCACACACTTTTGCCTCACCATATGCACGCAGATTTCCTCCTGAAAACACTCGTCTAAACGCGTAATAAAAAGCCAAGACGCGACGCCATTTTTGTGTCTTCTATTAGGGCCGTCATCATATAAACATAGCCTTAGATTCTAGATATAGTACCGTAGTTGGTTGGTCATTATTAGAATTGGATCTGTTGATTTTCACCTGCATAATGGGTATGATGTTGGTCTTAATTTTCATTTAAGTGGTCTTAAAAAGGTCTTTAAAAAGTCTGAAATTTGGGGTAGTCAGACCCGGGGATACCCTGTATAAGGTGCACTGTATTATAAGGAACAATATCAATAATGTTGAATTCTCTCGTCTATTTTTATTCATAAGATGCATCAGATTATAAGACACATTAAGCAAAACAAACGGACGAGAGTTGAGATTATGAAAGTGAATGTGGGTGGATCATTTAAGTTTTTTTTTTTTTATTTCCTACACCGAGGACTCAAATATACACTGAGTAATAATGTGTTTAATCCATCTTTTCCATGTTTGTTTACGTTTTACAGAAACAAAACTTAAAACCACATGACTCATTTGCACAAATTATAAGCGCTGAAAAAAACAGCTCGCTCCTCCTCGCTTATGCGGTTCAGCTTCTGTCTGATTAAAGGACACGACTTATTCCGTGAGGCTCTTGACTACAGTAGTCGTAATGCTCCGTAAATCTTTGTAGCTTACCAAAGTCGTACTAAAACATTTTGACACATTTTTGAGCGCCGTGTACCACATAAAATCGGTTCGAGGTCAGTAAACAAAACCAAACTGAATACATAAGGTGCACTGTCGCTTTTTGAGAAAATTAAAGGATTTTAAGTGTGCCTTATAGTCTGAAAAATATGGTAATTCTGTTTTTACACAAAAATGGAGTGCATGCATGTTTCCCCTGCATTTTGTCAGCCATGAAATCCAGTTACATCTCGTGTGTTTTGGGTTTTGTTCATTGCACTTTTCTTCTTATATAATAATAATAATATATAATAATATGTAGTACTTGTGCTACTTGTGTTACAGATGCGAAGTGAGTTGGATAGAAACATATCAAAGGAGTTAAGAAGTGGTGAGTAATCAAAGCTACACTGTGTATTTTTATTCTTTATTATCAGTAGTGATGTTGTGATGGAGAGTAGGCGAGATTCTGTTCCAGAAACAAATAAATGTGACTTTTAATAACATTTTTACAGATTTTACAACATTGGCTGATGGACCTTATCAGCCAAAAAACTCTAGCCCTAATAATTAAATAAAATAATGATGTATGTGTGTGATACTTTAGACTACGTAAATCGTGCTCTCTAGAAGGTCTGTGGGTAGTTTTTATTTGTATTTCTGTGTAACTGTGAATCAAATAAATATTGGAATCATTATAAAAATGGACTGTGTTGTGTGTTCAGCCACTGCAGAGTTGGAGGTGGCGTCGGCGCGTCTCTCTCCGGTCGGATCCGCCACTCTGGACCCCGTGACCCGAGCCACGCAGGACTATCTGACCGTGCTCAAGAAGAACTACAACATCTGAGCTCAAAGGTCACAGGTCACAGGTCACCGCTAAACGCACACCGCTCACGAACACGATCTGCTTCTGAGAGTTCATCTTTATATTGGAAAAAGTAAAGCTATAACAAAAGCACAAAACAGTTATTTTTAAAGCTATTTTCGCTGCAGCTAACAAAGGCTTCTACTATATTTTTGCTATTTCAGCTTGTCTCATACTGCAGTCACTGTTGCCTCTGTCAAATGTACTGAAATATGACTGATCTATGGGGAATTAACTCAAATTTACAAAGAAAGGGCAGTCCATCTTGGAAAAAACTACCATATTTTTCGGCCTATAAGTCGCTTCAGAGTACAAGTTGCACCAGCCAAAAAATGTGTAAGGAAGAAGAAAAAAACATGCTCCAGACTGTAAGTCGCACTTTTTGGGGGAAATTTATTTTTATAAAATCAGAGACCAGGAACTGACATTTCCTGTTGAAAGTCAAGTTCTAGTAATAACAATAGAAGAGAGAACAACAGACTGTTAACGTCACATATGAACAGTTCTTCAGATAAATATAACATAAACAACAGAACAGAACAAGTTTACCAAACTCTCCATCTCACTCCAAATCACTAAATCCATTCAATTCTTCATCCTCAGTGTCACTCTGTGACCTCTGGAGGTAAACGGAGCGCCACTTCCTCTTCTGTGTCGCTGTCGTCAGACTCAGCATCAGTTCCAGTTAGAATTATTCGGGCCTTTCTGAATCCCGACAGGATGGTTTCAGTGTCACTGAAGTTCAGACTTTGTCCATCCATCCAGTGACTTCAGGAAAGTTTCATGGTGCATCCTCCCGGTGTCAGTTTCTCTCTCACTCCAAACTTTCTTTCTGCTGCTCGATTATCGTTTTCAGCTGCAGATTTCATGACTTGCAGTTTGTAATCTGCAAAATCTGATTTTGTTTTTGGGGGCATTTGTGTTCAGTCTTCTCAGTCGTCTTTATAAGTTTGTTTAAATGTTAAATTGTTCAGTGGTGCAGAAGTAATGGTGCGATCAACTGACATGATACAGACAGGACAGAGGCTCTTTCTGCAGGAGACATGCGCAGTAGAGTGAAGTGACACTGGTACAGAATAGTCGTAAGAGATACTGACACACAAGACTAGAACTTCTCACCGCTTCAATGTGAAAGTTTGAGTATATAAGTCACACCCGAGTATAAGAAGCAGAATCACCCAAACCATGAAAAATAGTGCGACTTATAGTCCAAAAAATACAAAAATATGGTACTCTTTATGTGCAAATTAGTTCTTGCTGGTTCATCTTGCTGTTCAGTAATTGATGGTAGTACTCTTGGATCGTCCTTATGACAAAATGATTTAATCCTGCTTTTTGTCAGCTGCTTTGTCATCTTAAAGTTTTGATTTCTTCGTGCTTTTTTCAATTTTCAACTTTTTTTGTAGCTTGAGAGGCTCAAACTCTAAAATATGTTTTGTAAAGTCCAAGAATCACATGAACGCAGCATGTCATTGTCTGTCGGCTTAAGATCAGCGTGGCATTTGTTACCACAAGATTGGAGGGATGACAAAAAAGATCACCATTTTATTTTATTAAAACAATATACATTTTAATTTAATATTAATTACCTTTAAATAATCAACAGCTAACATAGAAATGTGTTTAAATGTCTTTCTCTTAAGTTTGACGTCTGCTCTTAACCACTTTTACTGCTTTTACTGGCAGAGGATTGGCTCTTGATTAAAAATGACTCAAGCTGATCACTGACCATTAGAAATAACTGAACCTCAAACTCGATTGAACTTTAGTGAATTCTGCAGGTCTATAATATTATATCCTGTACACTAATATTACGTCCTAAACACTTAGATTACAGCCAAAGATCTGCTCCATGTTAAACGCCACTATATATCAGCATTTGTATGTTTTTAAGTTGCTTTAACGACAGAAGAGGAAGTAGCCGTACGCACATTGCACTTAACCACTCAGGAGTAAAGGGCACGATTTATATGATTTTAGTACTGCAATTTTATCGAGTACTTTTAGACCGTCAAAGTATTGTTTTTGTATAATCTGAGATATTGAGATATTGCGGTAACGTCCAGGTCTGAGGTTTGAATTTGTAAATATTTGGTTTGTTATTCCATTTGAATAAGTATTGCTGGCATTATTTCACTCGATCATAAGCCATGAAGTGTCCCATGGTACGTGCCATTGACTGGTGCAATAGACTGAGATGAGAGTATTGTGTGTAATGTTATTTATTTGTTGTTTTGTTTTTTATAAATGTGATATACTTGAAGCGGACGAGCTGGAGACTCTCCGGCCATTCAACAGGGTGACTACATAGGCTACGGAACACTACCAGCATTTTACTGTTGTGGAAAGACGATAGGAAACACTTATGACGCCTGTACAGTGCAGAAGATTTACAATTGTAAATAAAATTGTAGAAAACCCTGGACTTGGTTTTGTGTTTGAAGTGAATTGTTCTTAAAGATTGGTTGAAAGAAGCATAAGAACACAGTGACAGTCTGAATCGGGATCAGACTGTTCAGATTAATCACAATCAAATTAAAATTGCAAGTTTGAATCCATGCAGTTGGCAAATCCCAAAATACCATCATTTTCTCCACCAACAACAAAATCTCCAGTTTTATTTCCCATAAAAACCTGTTAACTCTGTAGTTTAGATTTGTACAAACATGTCCTGAAATGTGATATTTCCTGTTCATATTTCAGTATTTTGGTCAATTCTTTTGGACATTTAAAATCTGAACTATTTGACCTGTCAGATATTATTTGTTAATTAATATGCCTGGAGAATTACTGTACAACATTTTAATCACATCCATTGAGCGAACATACATACATGCATACATGCATGTACACGTATGTATGCATGTATGCATGCATAGAATTTTGTCAAATTATATATTACCAAGTTTAAAAATGAGATACTACAAAGAGTATTATACTACAATTACACAAATCACTACACAGCAAACTCTGGGTTGATATGAATCCAATCTGTTCTAGAGTTAATTTAACATTTTTGGAAATGTTCATTAAGGACCAAAGTTCCTGTTTAACCCTAAAATCCAGAGTTATATTAACATTTTGAGAGTAAATGGGTAACACTTTGTAGGGTTATACTGATTTAGCTAAACAACACACAAAAGTGTTTCATTTTTACACTTTATTTCAGTTAATTTAACATTTTGGAGAGTAGTAACTGCACCCTGTAAAGTGTAAGTTAAGGTACACTGTAAAAAAAAAAAAAAAACAGTTGCATGTAAAGCCTTTATTTCCATTGTAAAAGATGAAATTCTGTACAAAACTGGTTCAAACTGGTCTTCTCTGGCAGGAGTTTGAAGTGGTGAGTGAGACACATTAACACTAAGGGAAGTTGAATTAACTTCAGCCACATAAACTCTGGCAAATAACCCCAACTTAAACCTCCTTAAACCCTTAACTTTCAAATTGTTAAAATAACACTTGTTGAAAAAAAACAATAAATATTTTACAAATATTTTCAACTGAAATTTTAACCCTCTATTTATTATTTCATTTGTGGTGCTTAGCTTATTTTTATAGAGTTAATTTGAGTTGATGGTTGATCTGATTTAATGAATGAATAAAAAATGATACTGTTTTCAAATTTCCAACAAAAAAACACAAGCAAAGTGATGTATAAATGTATAAACGGACACTTCAACAATAAGCACGTAAAATCATAAATCTTTTATGCATTGACCTCGTTGTAGATCCTTATATGGGCCCGTCCCTTTTTTCTTCTCAAATAAAACCTGCCTCGGTGTGTCTGTATCTTAACCCATATCTCATTATCGTGTTTTGATGTCTTCGTGTCTTCACTCACTTTTCCAAACAGAGAAATCACACGCGCTTTAGCTTGTATTTCTAATGGCCTTTCTTCTGTGTCTCAGCTCCCTTTGATCCGTCTCCTCCTCATCACAACCAAATCTTAGATATTCAAATTGCGTTGCTTTATTTTTGTTTTCTGACAGACTTGACTATTAGCTGTTTTATTATTCCCCATATATATATTTTTATTCTAATAAACGAGGATTCTGGCGGCACACGCGCGGCTTGTTTTGATTGAGGAGGTTACAACTGTTGTCAGAGCAGTTTAGTGACACGAGAAGAAAAGCGCTGTTATTTTGAAAGCAGTGGTAAAACAATCATGGCTCATCACGGCTGTTTAAATGCCTGTCCAATATGATAGAACTAGGACTAAACAAGTGGAAGATATGCACAGGCTTTACATACAACAAGGATCCTCACTTCTGTACCATGTTCACGCTTCATCTTCTGTGCGATGGTAAATATTCACTCCTCTGTCCAAAGATGCAACTGTAAAGGTGCACTCTAGCAGTGGAATTGAACCAGCAACCTATGCACTTGTGGGTGAACACTTTACCTACTAAGCCAAAACAAACAAACAAAAAAACCCGACAATTTGTTTTCTTTCACATATGTTGCTGAGTTCTCAGTGTTTGGGAGTAACAGATTACATGTACCAGAGTTATGTAATCAGAGTACAAATTATGAGTAACTGTATTCGGTTACAGTTACTGTTTCAGTGAGTGGTAATTGGATTACAGTTACTTTGTTGAAATACATGGATTACATGGCGGTATTTTCCTGTTTTCACATTTTGGGCTATATCCCCCTTTTTTTTTTTTTTTTTTTTTATTCCACTCATTGCCAGGAAACTAAACCAGGACTAAATCAGGATTGAACCAGGACTGAACCCAGGTCTAAACCAGGACTAAACCAGGTCTAAATTAGATCTAAACTGGGGCTAAAACCAGGTCTAAACTAGATCTAAACCAGGTCTAAACTAGATCTAAACCAGGTCTAAACTAGATCTAAACCAGGTCTAAAACAGGACTAAAACAAGATTTAACTGGACTAAACCATGCCGCGTGGACCGTGTCTCCTCCTCTTCTATCAATAATATGTTTAATTTGGTTAAGGAAAGTCTGGGCTTTTTATTTTCTTTTAGCAGATAAAACATCTTATGTGAAGATTTCCTCGTCTTTGCTTCTCTACAGCAAATCAAGTAATCCAAAGTATTCAGATTACGTTACTCGCTTTAAGTAATTTAATGGATTACGTTACAAACTACATTTTGGGGTATGTAATCTGTAATCTGTAGAGGAATATATTTTAAAAGTAACCTTCCCAACACTGTGAGTTCTATGTTTTCATCCATCCATCCATTTTCTTCCACATATCTGAGGCCGGGTCGCGGGGGCATCAGTCTAACCAGGGACTTTCACACTTCCTTCACCCTGGACACTTCTCCAGCTCCTTCGAGGGGACCCTGACACGTTTCCAGACAAGCCCAGAGACATAGTCCCTCCAGTGTGTCCGGGGCCTCCTCCCGGTGAGAAATGCCCAGAACACCTCCTGAGGGAGATGTCCAGGAGGCAGCCGGAACAGATGGTCAAGCCACCTCAACTGCTCCTCTCGACGTGGAGGAGCAGTGGCTCTACTCCGAGCTCCTAACGTGTGACTGAACTCTCTAAGGGAGCGCCCAGCCACCCTGCGGAGGAAACTGGCCGCTTTTAAATGAGTTCATCTTCTGTGCGATAGTAAATATTCACTCCTCTGTCCAAAGATACAACTGTAAATGTGCTGTCTAGCAGTGGAATTGAACCAGCAACCAGCATTTGTGGGTGTACACTTTACCCACTAAGCCACTGTTTCCCAAAGACTGGGTTATGACCCTCAGGTGGGTCGCAAGAGATTTTTTGGGGGGTCATCTTGTCTTGATCTGCATTTAGATCTGCAATATACAGTTGTACATGGATCTGTGATCTTATCGTCATATTCTCTTTTCACTACTACATATCTGTATGAATTGTGATTTTGTGTTTCACAAAAATGAAGCCAAAGCACAAAAACAGAGTGAATGCTGCTCCTGATCTTCTGCTGCGTCTCCTCCTGCAGCCGGACTGAACACACTACAAAAACACACACCTACCTCAACAGAAATGTTCAAATGTTAAGACATCTTTTTTTTGTGTAATTTAATCTTAATTTGATTGTAATTATTTTATTGACTATTTTGTTCCAGTATTGCTGGTTCAGTTGAAAGTTGAAAAGAAAAAGAAATGTTCTACATTTATAGTCCAAATAGGCCACTTCTGGATCCTTTTATTGCTGCTTCAGTGACTTCACTGACTTCAGTGTTTTTCATTGTTTCAAACTTGAGTAATACTAACTGTTCAGAGACACGATCACTCAGTCAACAATAAAATATCCTCATTAATGTTCAAAAATGATCAAATCCACCAAAAAAAAAAGTCTGGGAAACACTGCACTGAGCCACTCTGTGTAAAAAAAAAAAAAAAAATGTTTTCTTTCACATATGTTGTTAAGTTCTATGTTTTCTTGACTGTCCCTATTTGCTGCATACATTTATAGTGCGTCGTACAAATTGTGCAGGACAAGTGGTACAAACCTATATTTATTTGTTGGTGCTGATATGTCCGTGCAGTAAATGAGCCGTCAGTGCAGCTTCATGTCACGCTTAAATCTAAACATGTTTGAATAACACGCTTAAATTCAATTCTCTCTTCACCTGACAGCGCGTTTTATTTTTGGCTGTTCACTCTGCCTCGTCTGCAGGGACTTCTAAGGAAAGCGGCGTTCAGTCTCGGAGATAAAGAGGAAATAAAGCTGCTTTCATGTTGTTTTATATGACAAAGAATAAAACGAGCGGAGGAGGAGATGACAGCGTTGTAGTGTGCGCCGCAGAAAGGGCCAAAAAGTCAAAGCAACAATCTCACAACAGAGACCTGAGCGTGTGAGGCTCCAGAGGTCAATGTCTTTACATGAAAACGAAAGGCTTTATCAAGAAGGAAAACAGGGAGAATTATCAATAAAAACATGAAACAAATGTGAATGTTCCTGTAGCTGTTTACAATGTGCACTGAACAGAAGCCTACTTTTAATCACATATTGTCATTTTATTGTAGATGTGATTTAACTTTTTTAACATTTTTATGAAAATACAATCAATAAGTCAATAGAAAACATATGGCTCCTGCCCCCGTTTGGGAGTTTAACATCATCACATTCTAGAAAACCAACACTGTGCACGTTTTAAACTATTTAAACAACACTTGCGTGAAGTCGGCCCCCATCAAATGCCAACCTACACAAAAACTATGTCAATCATTTGTGCTTCGTTTGTGCTGCAAAAAATTTTGTTTGTGCTGTTTTAGTTTTTGAGATATTAATGATTCTTTTATAGGTCAATTTAGGGTCAGCAGCCCCCAGGAAACTTCAAAATGCTCTAAAACGCCCAAAATGAAGTCAATTGTTTGTACTTCATTTGTGCTGCAAAAACTTTCATTTGTGCAGTTCTTTTTCTTAAGATATTATCAGTTTTATTTTCAGCGATGACGTCATCCAGCCCCTCAAAATGTTAAATATCACTCAAAACCGCAGAAAATTATACGATATGTTTGTATTTTCTTTGTGTTGTTTTGTGCTGTGACTGTTTTCATTTGTGCAAGTATTTCTAAAATTATTATTTTTGTGAAAAATTATATGAGGTCATTTTCCTTTCAGCTGATGGCAGCGGCTTTAACAAAACTAAACAAAACTAGTGAAGAGAAACGACCTGAGGCTGTGGAAAAGTCTGTATCTCTGTCTTTAGTAATTTGCTTTTGATTCATATTTTATATAAAAATACAGACTTTTCCACTTTGCCTCAGATCATTTCTCTTCACTAGTTTTGTGGAGTTTGCTGCCGTCAGCTGACTGGAAATAAAAGATTTCCGCAAAAATAATAATAATTAATTTTAGAAATAAACTTGCACAAATGAAAACAGTCACAGCACAAACAAAATACAAATGTTTCATATAATATTCTGCTGTTTTGAGGCTATTTAACATTTTGAGGGGCTGGATGATTTAACCTGATTGATCATCCGGTTTCGGTTTCTTAGGCATTAGGATTCGTTCGCTCGATGGTAGACGGGTACTTTTTTATTTAACCAATCACTATTTGGTCATGACGTATGTAATGGACCGAATCCCGTAGGAAGAAGGACAATCACGTCTTTCACCAAACATTCTCTTTGTTTCGGCTTTAAATCCTCGATCTCAGGAATCGTTGCCAACACGTCTTGTCTTCGTCTACATCCATCTCGACTCTTTGTTTACTGTTGTGCTGTTCCACAAAAGGGACTCAGACAAATGCCACGAGTTTGACGTCATGGCGTCACAGCTCACAGCTGATTGGCCAGTGTGCGGTCTACAACTTCTGAGGTTCTTGCAAACTGTCTACTGTATTCTGATTCCTGAGTTAGTCGCTGGAGAGAAATGAAATTGAGAGGAGGCTCTAGGTGGCACCTGAAAATCAAACTGCTAATATCTTAACAACCAGAATCACACAAACTAAACTTTTTGCAGCACAAACAAAGCACAAATGAATGACTCCATTTTGTGTCATTTTGTTTCATTTTGAAGTTTCCTGGGGGCTGCTGACCCTAATTTGACCTATAAAAGAATCATTAATATCTCAAAAACTAAAGTAGCACAAACAAAACACAAACGAATGACTCGATTTTGAGCATTTTAGAGCATTTTGAAGCGTCCTGAAGGCTGCTGACCCCAATTTAACCTATGAAAGAATTGTTAATATCCCAAAAATTAAAACAGCACAAACTAAACTTTTTGCTGCACAAAACAGCACGAACGACTGACAGTTTCTGTGTAGGTTTGTGTTTGATCGGTGCGACTTCACAGAGGTTTAAACAACTTTCTTGTGTTCAGTATGCGGCCGTGTCCCTCTCAGCTCCTGTGGCATATCTGGCAGCACTCGAGGCAGAACTCCAGACACTCTATGGGCTCACAACAGGACTGGACCAGGACCGAGTGACAGTGGGTGTGACAGCTCAGCTCCTCCACCGGGGGGCCCTGTCCGGAGCAGCAGCAGTGAACGCAGCCCTCCCCGCAACCCAGACACAGAGAGGAGAGTCCCGAAGAACACAGCTCCAGCAGGCCGACGAGCAGAGCCGAGCAGTGACAGAAGAGACACGACAGCAGCAGGTCAAAACACACATCTGAGGACAGGGACAGAGACAAACGTGTCAATCACTGCGTCTCAGACAACATCACAACATTCTGGAGGTCAATATTATTTCTTACAGATGGGGACAGTCAATTCAGTGTTGCTCAACTACAGAGTTTTGTTGGGTCTAGTTAATAATAGAAATAATCAGGTCCCATATTTGAGAATTCATCTTTCTGATATTTCTTGGTAAAGTACAATATAATTCATATGAAAACTGGCTCTTATCCTCATCTGGAAACATGACATCACATTCTACAATCTGAAAACCACCAATATGTTTTAAGGAGGATCATATATTTCACAATTTATTATGATTTTAATTTTACATCAGACACTATTATCTCCAGCTTCATGGACTGTGTTCATGTGACACTGCAGCATTAAAGAGCTCTCTGTGTGTTTCAGCTTCCTGTTATAGGCAACATTTTATGGAGTCAAATAGTTCAAAGAACACTTTTAAAACATCAACCAAAAAAGTATAAATCAAAATACCAAATGAAACAAATTAAAAATAATAATACTAAAATAGAATATATAAGATTGCAAGTAAATTATTTGTGTAATTGTGTAAAATCTCCATCTTTGTCTTTCTCGGTCGTGTTTAGTGCAGTTTTCTTTGGTCTCCTCATTGGACGTTTTGGTGCAGTTTTGGTGGGCGGGGTTTTCATGGGTGCATTCCCATTGGCTCATTTATGTTTGACGGACAGCTGAGCTTGGAGCTCCTGAAGCTGTTGTGACGTTTCCTGTTGAAGTTTTGGTGCTCAGAGCTTTTCTATTATTCAGCATTCTCTGGTGGATGGTTCTTCTGGAACAACATTAATCTGTACAGTGGAAGTCCTGGACAAACTTGTTAGTTTTAGTCGCCAGGACTTCAGCAGGAAACGTCTGGAGCCCCATGCTCAGCTGTCCGTCAACCATAAATGAGCCAATGGGAATTCACCCATGGAAATCCCACTGACCTGTCACATTTGTGCCAAAACTGAGAAAGAAGCGGAATAAAAATAAAATGTTTCCAAAGAGGCAAAGACAGAAATTTTACACAATTACACAAATCTTTTTTTTTTTTTTTTTTTTACTTTTTAGTTTGGTTTGATTTGTTTTATTTGGTATTTTGATTCAGACTTTTTTGCTTGATGTTTTAAAAGCGTCTTTAAACTATTTGACTTCAAATTGATTCCATACATTTTGAGGACTGTTCATTGTTCAAAGATCGGGCAGTTGCAGCATTAAAGGGCCTGTGCCCATTTTTCCCATATATGTGAGTAAAACTTGTATTACCCCAGCACAACCCATGGCTAGTTTTATATGGAGCAGGAGGGCAGGGTTCAGGTTGTTCCACAGTATGGCATTATTAACTTATCCATCACCTTGGAGATAAGCAGGTGACACAACACAACCAGGTTACAGGTCAGATCTGAGAAGAGGCAATCCTGAGTATAGTGAGCAGCGTTTGACGTAAGATGCACCGGATTATAAGGAGCATTAAGCAAAAAAAAAGAACGACACTTGATACTGGTCCATGATCCATCAGCAGATCGTGGTGTAACTCGCCTGGCGTTTCCTCTCTGTCTTGGTGAATGTGTTTTATGAATGTGAAAGTGGGTGGATCATTTAAGTAATAATGTGATAATAATAATTAGAGTAATAATGTGTTTAATGCAGCTTTGACACATTTGTTTACGTTTTACAGTAACTAAAGTTAAAACCACATGACTCATTTGCATAAAGTATAAGCTCTGAAAAAACAGCTCCCTCTTTGTGCGCAGATGCAGTTTATCTTCTGTCGGATTTGCTTCACAAGGCCCCTGACTATGGTTGCAGTAATGCTCCGACAATCCAACAAGAGGTGCGGCTTCGTAGTTTACCAAAGTCATACTAAAACATTTTGACAGATTTTTGAGCGCCGTGTACCACTTAAAATCAGTTCGAGGTCTGTAAACACAACCAGACTGAATACATGAGGCGCACCGGAGAATTTCAGTTTAGAATTTAGAATTTATTTATTTGGAGGATAAGCCCCTTGAGATGTCTTGCCATCTCATTTTCGAGGGGGTCCTCACAACAACAAAAGACAGATACAGTAGGGCACACAGTAGGATAAATACATTTTTAAAAGCATGAAAACAACAAAATCAACACAACCACAAACACACACTCACACACACTTGACTGTCTGACATATAATAAAACAAGTTTGAGGGGAAAAAAAACAAAAAAAACAGAGTTCAAAGATGATCAGAACAAGATGAACAACAAAAATTCAACAAAATGATCAAAAACAATTACATGGGTTATGCAAATATTGAACCAGAGCATTTTTAAACAAAGTTAATGTATGAATCGATGAAGGAAGATTGTTCCAATCAGAAGGAGCTTTATATTTAAATGAGTGTTTTCCTGTTTGTTTTTTGACTCTTGGGACAACAAAAAATATCTGATCTGTGTGATGTAAACTGTAAGAGGATCTGAATGGAATTAAAATTAAATTAAAGGATTTTAAGTGCGCCTTATAGTCCGAAAAATATGGTACGTAGGTTAAACGCCGTGCAGTAGATGTTCTGACCTGGTTTATGTCTAATATCTCTAATCACTGGGCCTGTCCACATTAAACAAAACTGCGACCTGGTTTAACATCTCCTGGAATCAAACTAATGACCTTTAAGTTGGGAGCCTATGCCCCTGATCCACTGCCGACCGACTTCACTAGAGCTCGCTCCTGCCGCCTCCCTCCTGCCGAGCTTCCCACTAACACAAATACACCTGTGCTGCTACTGTTGCAAGTCTACAACGCCGTCAGAACTCTTCAAACACCGGATTAACAACATGATTAACCCTCAATTAATCTCTCATGTGTTTATTTGTTGTGCCAAAAGTTTCCAGAGCTTTGTAGTCATGATCAAATATGAGCGTGTTTACTTAATCACGGCTCGTTCGTTCCTTGGGGAGAGGAAAAAGGCCAATGATCAACACATCTATGCACTAAACTGTCAGCTGATAATTGTACCAAATTAGCCGCACATCAGATTGCATATATTAACCCCGGTGCTGCGCTAAAGTACATGTTTTACAATTGTTATCGTTGCATTGTTTTTCCGGCTTTGGTTTTTCATCCTTGTATGAGGCAGAGGAGTGTGAGAGCTCATGCAAATCGAGCTGTTTTATCCTGTTTACTCAAAGGAAGTAAATGAAGGAAATGGCACTATCCCCTGGGGAGTGGGGTCCGGTGTGTTCGGTGATCCACCCCCCGGTGCACATAACGTATGCTAATGTCTTTGTGCTAGATGAAAACAGCTTATTATTATTATATGATGCTTCTGTATTGATTTAATGCCTCACTTCAGGGAGAACAACACGGGTACAGTGGTAAACAACGAGTGGCCCTCACACTTTGATAAAACTAGAACAAAGTGCACATTCAAAGTCTCACACAGACAAACTTTACAAAGACTAATTTGGTCAAAACAAGATTCACTTCAACTTGTATTTGTTAAGTTTTTATTTGGTCCAATTTTCAACATTTTCCTGCCTCCAGCACTGAGCAGGAGGCCAGGGCAGAACTCTACAAGAATTCAACTGTTCAAATACACATGTTTTGTTTTGTTTATGGTTAATATGTCTGTAATTACTGGGCCTATCCACATTAAACCTAAACTCATAAAGTTCAACTTTATCTCTGTCAGTACAAGTGAACAAAAGTGCAATTATTTTTCACAATAGCTTCAGAGAGTGATGCCATTATTCAACACCAAAGACACTGGGAGGATTTTCAAAAGAGCTGAGTTTGTGGGAACAAACCCTAACAAATAATAATGACTGTTCAGAGCTGTAAACAACTGCAGGAGCATCAACAAGAACCCTGATCATTTCAGACATGTTTATACAGCTCGAAACTACAGGTACAAGAGTTTTCTACAAAAATACAGCATATTTTGCTCTTTGCAGACGACATTCTGTTCATATTTAAGTAAGTAATTTAATAATATATAATAATTTTATTATCTAATCCAGGGGTGTCAATCATATGGCCCAGGGGCAGGATCCGGCCCTCCGAGACCTTTAATCTGGCCCTCGTCTGATTTTCTACTAAAATATTTGAATTATATTTCTATAAAAATTAAATTATATATTATATATATATATATATATATATATATATATATATATATATATATATATATTATATATATATATATATATATAATTTATTTATTTATTTATTTTATTTTCTGCGGTGCTGAGCAGAGCAGCGTCTCCAGTGTCTCTGTACGTGGCCCCTCCCACCAGAGCAGCACAAATGAAGACTTGTCTCTTTCCAAACGCTCTTAAAGGACGATCGTTTTGACTGTTGACCGTGACACCCTCATCAGAAAAATGTCCAACATGAGAAAAGTGGAGCCGAGTGCAGGATTTTCAAAGAAAAAATTGACTTATTCCAATTTACATACAAGTTCATATTAAAACATTGTTTTGAAATACAATTTTCCTTAAAGTTTCAGGTTGTTCATAATATTATATTTTATTAAAGAAAGAGTTCATCAGTTAAAAAAGATTTCTGTAATAGATTTGTGTTTCTCTGCACAAATATTTGAACTTAGTGTTATTTTTGGGGTTTATATGACATGAGTTTTCTGATCCGGCCTCTTTGGGATCAAAGTAGGTTGGATACAGGCTCCCGGACTAAAATGAGTTTGACACTCCTGATTTAATCTATTAAATTACTGCCTTTGCAATTTGATAATTGTGGCAACTCAAATTTTAATTCAGTTGCGATGTATTGTGCAGTCTTATGGCAAGCTGTCTTACTCTATATGTTCCAAATACACCTGCTCATACACACCCACACAGGCCCATATATATACACTATATATACACACATACACCCAGATCTCTGCTGTGTCCCTGGTCTTTATTTTTACCTCCTGAAGTGAATGCAGTGCCCAGTGTGTGTGTGTGTGTGTGTGTGCGTGTGTGTGTGTGTGTGTGTGTGTGTGTGTGTGTGTGTGTGTGTGAGCGTGTTTGTGTGTGTGTGTGTGTGTGTGTGTGTGTGTGTGTGTGTGTGTGTGTGTGTGTGTGTGTGTGTGTGTGTGTGTGTGTGTGTGTGTGTGTGTGTGTGTGTGTGTGTGTGTGTGTGTGTGTGTGTGTGTGTGTGTGTGTGTGTGTGTGTGTGTGACACGGTGGTGAGGTGAGTGAGCCGAACACTGTCCCACAGGTTTAATAATAGTTGACATGTTTCCTCGTCTCAGTGGGACCAGGCTTTTTTGACGAGGTTCTGTGAGTCTCACCCTGAACTGAATAAGAGCTGCAGAGTCATTTGAATTAAACCTGGACAATATTTCACAGTATTTAGACTCTTCACTGTTCTCATGTCAAAGTCACATACCAAACAAAAAGGGAAAAGGAATCGTTGTATGTAGCCAATGTTTTTGACCAAATGTTACGGATTTATTTTTTTTTTTATGTGTATTTTGATCAAATAAAATGATGATTGCAGATGATAAAATAGCCATAATTTTAGATTAAATGAAACTATAAATACAGCGGTAGCCAGATCTTCACTAAACAACATAACAGCCTAGATATTGTGTGGAGGGAAGTGGGATTCAAGGTGAGTTTTCTCTGACCTCTGGCTTTACAGACTTCAGTGAGTTGCATACCTCTGTTAGTATTGGCAGCAGGTTGGTTCAGATGGGCTGTGCTGTCTGCTTTGCTGCGACTCTTCTTGCTGTTTTTGCTGTGGACAGACACACTAGAGCCGCCTGCTCCCCTCAGGTGTTTGTGCTCTGGGATCTGCAGCCCGCACTGGGGACAGCTCGGTCTGCTTTTGGACTGGGACTGGGAGCTCTGGTGTTTTTGGGGTTCCTTTACAGTGACCGCAGAGTGAACCGGGACAGCAGCAGGGAGAGGCTGGGCTAAAGGAGAACACAAGACCAGACAAGAGTGTGAGGAAGAAAAGGGATCTGAAATGCCTCCAAGTCATTAAACGCTTAACATACATACTGTATTTTCCACATTATAGGGCGCACTTATAAGCCTTTAATTTCATCAAAAAATGACTGCACGCCTTATAATCCAGAGCACCTTCTATATGAATTTATTCATGTGTCTTTAGTAAACTACAAGGCCGCACCACTTGCACCATTACGGCTCCTGTAGTCACGAGCATCGCAGACACTGTTGGGCAAGTTACTTTAAAATATTTAATGTTTTATTTATGACTTTTTACTGTCATTTCAAAGTAATTAGTTACATTACAATATTACTGCATTTAAAATGTAAGGCATTACACGACTATTGCAGCACTTTCAAGTTACTCTCACCAAAATAACTGTGAAGATGCTGAACTTTTGTGCCGTATATGGACTAAACCAGGACTAAACCAGGACTAAACCAGGACTAAACCAGGACTGACCAGGACAAAACCAGGACTAAACCAGGACTAAACTAGGACTAAACCAGAGCTGAACCAGGACTAACCCAGGCCTAAACCAGGTCTAAACCAGGACCAAACCAGGACTAATCTTGGACTAGAACTTGGAATCTAGGACCGCCCCTGAGAGAACCACGAGTCCATGGAACAGGATGTCTGCAAGGCATCGCCCAGTGGAACGCAGAGTTCTGTGTCGGTCCTTTCGCTCACGGTTACTTGACGATCTATGCGGGCGCGTCTTGAGCCTTTCACCTTTGTTGATATCGCGGTAATGTTAGTGAATTTGTATGAAGAAAAGCCCACCACTTCAATCCATGTTAAAAATGCACTGTAATGCACATTACTGACATTTGTACCGAGTCAAATGTTACTATTTTTTTCCATGCATTACAGCAAAAAGCAACGCATTACAGTAATTTGTTACAAATTTTTATAACGCGTTACTCCCAACACTGATTGTGGAGTAATACATACTGTGATTCCTTTTAATATCAAAATGCACCTGTCAAGAGACATGCTGCAAGCTGTGTGGGAGCAGTGGATTGAGAGAAGGAGAACACACATTCACCAAGACAGAGAGACAGCGCCGAGCCACTTACACCACGATCTGCCAACAGATCGAGGACGCCTGGACTAAGGATCAGTATCAACTGTGGTCCGAGCTTTCACCAAGACCAGAATCATCACTGAACTGAACTCCAGGGAACAGTAACCACACTGACTCGGATCATGACGAGAGGGATGTGGACGTGCTGGACGCCGGAATCACCCAACTGTTTGAACAATTATGACTTATTGTGAATACTCTAACAATTTAGCGTCTCAAACAGTATTTTTTTTACACGTTACAATTGAACAAAGTTGAGAGTTATTGTGAACACATTAAATAGTCCGGTGTGGTTTATATGTGAAAAAAGTTTGAAAATAGACCATTCAGTGACAGTGCATCTTATAATCCAGAGCCCCTATAGTGTGGAAAATACGGTAACCATAAGCCTGCAGTGTCTCGGAAAAATAGGCTAGTGATTTTAATTCTGGTTGACAGTTTGTTAAAAAATATACATTCATATTATTTTTTTAATTGTATAGATCACAACAGTCAGGACAGGTCAGAATTCTACGGTGCAGTTGACTGTTCATGGATCTGTCCAGTTGCAGATTATTCGACTTGTTTATGGTGAATATTTCTGTATTTACTGGGCCTATCCCATAGAACCATGGCCGACTCAAAACAAAGTTCAGTGCACCACTTTGCTTGGGGTTCTCTCTCTGAAGTCCAAAATTAGTCCTGGTTTAGACCTGGTTTAGTCCTGACCCACCTGTGTGTAATTACTACCCGCTGGTAATACGCAAAATGCATTCATACGCTGTAAAAAAAAAAAAAAAAAAAGCACGCAAAATTGCACACACAAAAAAATCCGTGAAACAGCGAGACCGCGAAAGGTGAACTGTGATATAGTGAGGGACGATTGTATTGCAGTTATTTGTAACATTTGCTTTTTCATATCATATTTGCTCACATTAATTATCTTAACCACAAGTTACAATTACACCAGCCCTCTGCAGAAAACAGTACTGCCCCACGGAACAGTTGTAATGTTGTAATGATAATTCTAAAAGCCCGTGGGATACATGGTTCAACATTGTGCTTTCTCAACTCACTTGTGGGTTATAAATGTTGTTGCTTTTTTCAAGCATGGTTTTGCTACAAATGGGTTGGGGACACAGGGGACACAGAGGACTGTCCTGGGTAAATAGTGTCGTCTGGTCACTCTATCTCAGCCCCCCTGTGAGGAGGTGTTGTCTCTGTGCAGCAGTCATCACACGGGACTCACAGCTGATGAGGTCAGGGTCGATGGCATTTCCTCCACAATCAGGGACTGGCTCAGGAAGTCGCTCGGACTTTAACCTCAGACTGCCTTCAGAAGCAAAAAGAAATATGAGCTCACAATCATACACAGGCCATTTACACTCTAGGCCACGTAAAGCATGTTTGTACGACTGAACAGCTGCAATCTGAAGTGGTGCAATCATCAAATTATCAAAACAAAGACTGAAATTATTTGGGTAACTGAATGTCCTCAACCAACAAAATATCCTGTCATCATATGGAAATGTTATCGTCATGTTTAGCCCTCTACATGCATGTTATAAATTGGGCTTTTCAAATGTGAACTGTAAATTGAAACCTGATTTTAAAACATTAATCATCAATCTAATTAAAAGTTTCCCAAAAATGATGCTGCCCTAATGTTGCACTTTATGCACACACGACACACTCCAGACAGTCATTCAGACTGTACATGGAAATGCAAACATAAAATAAATAATAAAATCACATTTTAAGTTGATTTTTTACAACTCTAGTTATTTTTTACTAATACAGCACTGCACATGCATTTATACTCAGTACCAAAAGAAAGTAAAGGACAAAATATATAAAGTGTATTCTGTGTTTCCAACAGGTTTTCTATTCATTTTATTCAGTGTTTTGGTGGATACTGTGTACATGTCACTCTTATTCTACTGCCTCCATTAATAAAAAAGCTCTAGTTATTATGACAATATGAAGCACAAAATGCGTCAGAGCATAAATAAATAATAAATAAAACAACAATAAGAGTGTAATATAAAACTTGCCTTCAGTTTTGTCGATGTGTGCCTTCAGTCCATTGGTGGGGATGTGTCGTCCTGGGACCATCTCTAACTCTCATTTTGGCTCATGTTGTATAGTCATGTGTGTTTCAGTAGTTCCTCTGTCCCACTGCCCCGGGACCGTCCACAATACAGAGGCCAGGAAACCTCCACCCAAAACTCCTGAGTCACCGCCTGCTGACTGCGAACTGGACATGGCTGTTGTGTGTTTGATGATCAAAATACCTCCTCCTCCTCCTCCTCCTCTCTCCTGGTCCCTGTGTTGGCTGTTCAAAGTGTGATAAGGGCCGCTGCCCTGGAGCGCCCTGTTTTGTGTCTCTAACACACCACAGACACATGTCACATCTGTGTGTGAGGACACAGTAATGTATGCAGCTTTACACAAACACTTATTAGAGGAAATGAATATGACGGAGGTTTACGGGACATCACAGCACGCTGCAGACCAGTGTACAGAATAAAATAACTCATGATACTCGAGGCTCTTTACAGAGAATTCTTCATTCACTCCATATATGATGGTGAGATACTGTAGTCACAGCTGCCCTGGGGCAGACTGAAGGCTGCCGATCTGACTAGTCTCAACCCTCACACACCACATTCATACTTGACAACGTGGGTGAAGTGTCTTGTCTAAGGACACAACAACAGTTTCCACTAGACCCTGCTGCCTCACTGTGGCACTCGGTTTTCAGACTGTAGAATGTGGTGATGTCAGACTCCTGGATGGGGCAGGAGTCTGTGTTCTCTATACACTGTATTACATTTACCATGAAATATCCAGAGGGTAAATTCACAAATGTTGACTGTGATCTGTGAGATCACTGATCTGTCAGTGACTAAACCCCAGAACTCACTGTATTAAAACAAAAAACTGCATTTTAACAATATTCACCTGTATGAAATATTATTGGACTATAGAATGTTGTGATGTCGTCTGAAATGCAGCTATTCCCCACACACCCCACACAAAATATGGTTTTATATTCAACTGTAATTGTAAATCTATCACATAATAATAATAATAATAATAATAATAATAATAATAATAATAATAATAATGCATCAGTTTTATATATAATTTTATAGACACTCAAAGGCACTTTACAGATCATTAGTTATTTGCTCCACAGCTCCTATTCTAAGCACAACTGCCTTGGAGCAGACTGAGAGAAGTGAGGCTGCCAATCTGCACCATTGGCCCTTCTGATCTCCACCATCACACACGCACACACACACACACACACACACACACAAACACACACACACAGACATGCACATACACACACACACACACACACACCACTACTGACCAGACCCAGCCTGCTGAGCTTCAGAGATCTGATGGGATCAGGCTTTAAAAAGCCGATATAGAACATGTTTATACAAATATAGTGATTAGCATTTATCTTTTATCGATGTATTTCACATGAGCAGGAAGATCCTTTGGAATCTTACTTCATAGGATAATTGTGGTCATTATGTTCCACACATTACATTAGCTCTTCTCTCTTCCAGTGGTCTCTCATCGAGGTTTAGAAGAGTTTGAATCCAGGACTATTTGAACCAAGCCTCCCAGGTGAGAGGTGAGGTGAACATTTGACATAAAAAAGCAAAACAAAACACATACGCAGTAACTGTAATAATTGTTAATTGCTGATCATTCTTCTGCAATTCTTTAGGCCCTGGGATTATTCAAAGCATTAAATGACACTGAGTGTGCTCTTTATTTTCTATAGTGCTCGTTCTGTTTGGTGTGTGGTACAGACAGGAGGCTTGGTGCTTTAACACACTGTTGACTGTCAAAATATCCAGATGAAAAAAACAACATGTCCGCCTCATAGTGAGTACACTTCACTTCAAAGCGGCGCAGAAGTGACAGCGCTGAAGCTGTGGAGCTCGGAGATAACTCCAGTCGATAAACAAGACAATCAGCGGAAGGCGTCATAATGGTGTGACGGCCAATCAAAGCGCTCCCCCCGAGCCAAAGCTAAAGTCCTTATCAGGCACGACAATTACTGACATTAGTCAAAACAAGCATCGAGGAGCCAGCACTTTGTTCTGCGTTTGAGAGAGAAGCCCCAGTAACAGCTCCACTTTGGGCTGTGTGTCAGAGCCAGCGCAGGTGCCACCACATGTGTTGTTTTTTTTTTTTGTTTTTTTTTAACAGGAGTACAGTTTTATTTAGTGTGGGAGATATGGACAAAAAGAATAATATATAATACATTTTATTTATAGCTCTATATACAAATGCATTAAAAACAAGTCATATATTTGGAGTATCCCAATAAGGCAAAGCAATTTTATGTAAATATACAGTAGCAGAATGTACAAAAACATGTCTTTAAAAGTATTAGGTTTAAGTATCAGACACTGGCTGTGGTTACACAAACTCTCAAAATCAAATTATTATCTGATTTATTAGGTTAAAAGAATATTGAAATGTCATGCCAAATCATCTCTGATTGTGATCATTTGCATGTCATTTAAATCATCTTAAAGGTCCAGAAATCAGACAATAATCAGATTTTGATGTGAACGTGACTGCGGACAAATTTGTAATGACCGTAATGACTGAATTACTCACAAAACTTAAGACTTATCACTTTATCCTTCATTGGGAAATTTACAACATACTTTTATTTCTCAGTTTTCATTGCAATTGCTCTTTTTGTAGCATTAATAATTATATTCAAATGTGGAATATTTTCAGAACTACATTGACAATATTATTATTTCAATAATCAATTACATATAGTTTAGGAAAGGCCACATGGGGGTTAAATCACAGTGTAGATTTGCAGATGGTTAACTGCAATAATTTACTACAACAAACTACAAGCTACAAATATCCACACTACTGTCTCTTAGATGCTTGTGAAATAGACCAATGTGAAAGATGTAACTGTGTGGACATTATTTGGTGACAATGGTCATTGTATCAAATCATATTTTCCAGACCCACTGCTGTGTCTTTTAAAACAATGTCCTTCCTTTTCCTTGTGCAAATAGATGGAATAATAATAATAGTAGAGATGAGTTCAGTGGTTTATTTGAGTCACTGCATTGTCCCACATGGAAACAGGAACGGCACGTGCCTGTTACAAAAATATAAAAACATGAGCTCTTGGTCTTTTAGCTGTAGTGGAAACGTTTTGTGTAATGTGTAGAGTTGTGTCGGATCAAGTCACTGTATTATTTTGCAGTGAGTCTCTTAAATAATGTACAAAAAGAGCGCATTTTAGCTGAGATTCACTTCATAAATATAGAAGTAGTGTAGTGTGATATGTGTGTGGACACTGTAAACCTGAACGATCAGAGTAATTAAATTAAGTTGTGTATACTCAAAGTTTTAGAAATAGTCCTACTAACTTAATCATGTCAAGTTGCTGTAACATGTTCTTTTTGAGTAATTTTAACTCTTTTTTTTATTTTTTATTAAAGTGAACTAATGTGGATATAAGTGAGATTAACTTAAAAACATAGATGAGGTACAACTTAGTAGAATGAAGTAATTAACAAAATAATATGTAATGTGTGTTTAATGTACTATGTCTATACTATAATGTATGTATGTATTACTGAACTGTATACATATTATATAATATTGATTAGACTAGTAAACCTCCTGATTTTCACATCCCTGAGTTTAAATCCCCCTTCTAGGGTGTGTATGATCTAATATATGTATAATGTGTTTATATGTATAATGTCATGTGTTTATAGTATAATGTATGTATACTATAATGTGTTTATAGTAGAATATATGTATACTATGATGTATGATTGACTGTGTGTAGTTTACATTCAGTTGGGGAGCTCCACTGGTAAATCCCCTGACATTCACATGAGGGACCTGGGTTCTAATCCCCCTCCTACAGTGTGTATAATGTGTGTATATTATGATGTGTCTATTTGTAGTCTATAATGTGTGTAGATATCAGAGGTGGGACTTGCAAGTCGTGACTTGGACTCAAGTCAAACTTGAGTCACTATTTTTAGGACTTGAGACTTGACTTGATAAAATGGACTAAAAGTCCCAAGGACTCAACTTGGACTTGCAGGTCAATGACTTGGGACTTGACACGGACTTGAGACCTGTGACTTGAGAAGCGCTTTTAAATCTGACTTCGTTCTATTCTGATTCACTCTAAGATCTTCTCAAGACATTTAAAAAGGAAAAATTTGCATTTCTACAACTCTTATATAAATACATGTAGTTAATATGATGAAGTGAGATTCAGGAGCAGGACCACGCCTCAGCCGCCCTCTCCTCTCACCAGCGAACCACAACTCACCTCCACCACACCTCGAATTTCCCAGAAGCCTATATGTAGCAGCCTTTCCCATCATCCCAGTTTGTCTGGGCTAACTGGACCCCACCCTCCCATCCCCAATTTTGTCTTTCAATCATAAGACCCCTGCAAGGGGGGTCCTGTTCTGGCTGGGCCAATTGAAGATTGAGACGGAGTCCCCACCTAAAGTCTCAACCCAGCCATCTCTGCCCCGCCTCGTACATTATCAATAAACTTCTTCACACTATGTCGTTGTTGGTGTGGTCCTAGCTAATGAATTATATAAATATACTAAGACTTTATAAGTACAATTGAGTTTAAAATTCATACAAATTACAAAAAATAAAGCTACATTTGGTACTTTAAAGACTTGAAATGACTTGAAGCTCAAAACAGACGACTTGGACTTGACTTGGACTTATGGGCCAGTGACTCGAGACTCAAATTGAACGTGCCTGTATTTGACTTGGGACTTGACTCGGACTTGAGGTCAAAGACTCGAGACTTACTTGAGACTTGCAAAACGACGACTTGGTCCCACCTCTAGATACAACTGGATGTACTGGACTGTGTGAACAAAATCATGAACTACATACAAACTGAAAATGTAATTATTCCAGTGGTCTGAAAACTAACTGCAAATATCTGAGTTAAGCTAAATGAGCACTTTTAATTCAGCTGTTATCAAAAGGTACAAGTATCAAGTCCAACCTTTAAAGTTCTAGAAAATTGTGACTTTTAAGTTCATCAGCTTAATATAAATGAGGCAATTGATTTCCTCATTTTTGTTGAGTTCTGGTAACTTATTTGGATTTACAGTGTATGAACCAATTCACTCTATGATTTAACTGACAATAAAACTTATAGACCACTACAAATTAGTGAGTATTTTGCGACATTTATTTATGCCATTTATTATGAGTAAACGAGTAACAGATTTACAATGAACAAATTCACTTTCTGGCATATTTTATCTACACAGAGATGTAAAACACTATTTGTTTATTAAAGCTGGGGTCGCTGAATTTCAAACTGTGAAAGGCGAATTCTCAACTTTTTTCCAATATTGATATTAGGGAACAAACTACATTTGCAATAAAGGTTTGGGACCCCAGATTTAACTAAGTAAAAACACAGAGAAACGTGATTTTAAAATGATGAAACACAGTAATTGTTCATAAAATAATAAAAAAAATAATTGTAAACATTTTCTTGGATCCATATGATGACACAGACAGGACACTGTAGGACACCATGGACTAAACACTTCCATACAATAATGACCACAGTGAACAAAAGATATATGGCTTTTCTCTCTACACAATACATTTCATTTAGATGCACATTTTTATGAAACTGATGTAGCCTTAACTTGGAACATATAATATTTAAACATAAAACAATACAAAAAACACTTTGACTATAAGCGGTGTTAGAACATGTGCTTGTTACAGCTCAGCCTTTGTGAACTCGAAATCTAAACTTAAATCATTCAAGGTCAACAAAGGGGTCATCGATGTCAGTAGTTTTGAAATGCATTTCTGACAACAGCGAATCTTGATCTGTGGAGTTGAGTGTCCTGGAAAGAACATATTGCCATTAGAAGAGAGGCCAAGAAGATGATTTGGTTTATTGATGACTGATACTGAGGCTCAAGTGGAGGAGTTCAAGTATCTCAGGGTCTTGTTCATGAGTGAGGGGAGGATGGAGCATGGGATTGACAGGTGGATCGGTGCAGTGTCTTCAGTGCTGTGGTGATTTTATCGGACTGTTGTGGTGAAGAGGGAGCTGAGCTGAAAAACAAAGCTCTCGATTTACTGGTCAATCTATGTTCCTCCCCTCACCTATGGTCATGAGCTCTGGGTAATGACTGAAAGGACAAGATCGTGGATACAAGCGGCCAAAGTGGGTTTCCTCCGCAGGGTGGCTGGGTGCTCCCTCAGAGATAGGGTGAGGAGGTCAGTCACATGGGATGAGCTCGGAGTAGAGCCGCTGCTCCTCCACATTGAGAGGAGCAGTTAAGGTGGCTCAGGCATCTGATCCGGATGCCTCCTGGACGCCTCTATCGGGAGATGTTCTGGGCATGTCCCACTGGGAGGAGGCCCCGGGGAAGACCCAGGACACGCTGGAGGGACTATGTCTCTGGGCTGGCCTGGGAACACCTCAGGATCCCCCCGAAGGAGCTGGAGGAAGTGTCTGGGGTGAAGGTAGTCTGGGAGTCTCTGCTTAGACTGCTGCTCCTGCAACCCGGCCCCAGATAAGTGGAAGAAAATGGACCGGTGATAACTGATAATTATTTATGTTCTTGTTTGTTTATGTTTAAATTATACTTACTATACTGTTTATGTGCTTATGTTTGTTTATTAACACATCACGTCACAAAATTGTGTTAAATTCCAGTATCACCAAAACTGCATGGTGCTACACAACAAACAATATTATACCTCATAATAGATCATTCACTTTAATTATCTACACATTAATTAGCCTTAATAAAGCACGAACAAAGATTTATTTCATAATGAACAAATAGTTAATTAAGAATAATTGAGGCTTAATAAACCACTTAATGAGTATTTTACTCACTCTTGAACTTGTGCAGTGGTGTTTGTTTTCTCCAGTGTGTTTCCTATTTTTCTGTCGAGGAATCCATTTTTCAGTCTTGCAACTTCAGCCAGCGCAGTCTGAAAACAATTCAGTCATAACATTCAGATTTAGACATACAAAGTTTGTCTAAATCTAAGAGACATTAGTGTATTCACAGACATGTTTTTATGATATTATTAAGTAAAAGTAGACCTCACTTGTAAGCTGCTGGTCAGTGGAGCACCAAATCCACTTTTAGTCACTGATCCACTCCTGCAAAGTCAATCAAATAAACAGACACTTATGAACAATTACATTTATGTGAGATAATCCAATCTTGACAAATTAAAATAATATTGTCTTTAATACTCTCCATTAACTGGATTTCTGAACTACTACTGGATAATACAGTTTAATGGATGTATTAAACAACTATCAGCTGAATTCTACATTTAAATCAAATAAATCTCCATCATTGCAATGCCTTTGTTCAGATTGTTCAGCTCTGACATTAAGTTGATCCTAGTATATGTTTACCCAGTGATCTTCTGGGACCTCCTCCTCTGGTACTCCACCTCATCCACAGTCCACACGGCTCCTTTCACATTCTCCACACGAACAAAACACTTGTGCAGGCTCAGGTTGTGTCGCACGGCGTTCTCAAACAGGCAACAGGAAATCAAACAATACATCCCAGCAGGAGTGACAATACTGACCAAAATCAACATCTCCTTTTTTATTATCTCAGTGAATATTTAGACTATACTTATGATATGTCAGTCCATCACAATCGTGGTAAAACATCTCGGTAAATGTCATGGTTTAGGTTCAAGTTAAATAGTGAATGGACTGTGAAATTAACCACGAGTACAGAAAATCACTTATTTGAAGAATCACTCTGTAAGTAAGACTTTATCCCAGTCTTTATCTTCAGTCATTATTTTTACTGTATAGATGATCATTCAAAACAGCAAATGTGATTATTAAATATTTTATATATAAAGCATGGTGGTGCAGTACCTTCCAAGTGGCAGCGTTGCGTCTGAAATAAGCAAACGTTCGAGTGAACCAGTTGTAAATCTCATTGAGGGTGAGCTGCATGTCTGCTGCCTCCATGATGGCCTAAAGGCACAAGGTCAAAGCAAGGACATTGTTTAAGATAACCAGTTGAAGAGCACTGTGTAAGAGTACTGTCATTTACAAAGAGTACTGCATGCAGAATACTTTTCTGTTGAGTTGCATTATATTACAGTCCCTGACAAAAGTCTTGTCGCTTATCCATTTTGTAGAAACAAAAGCTTATAACCTGACTTTAAATTAATCGATTGGTTTTAGAAATGTCTCATCTGAAAGCTAAAACCCTCCCAAATTATGCTCAATAAACTAAAATAAATTTGCTTCACTGAAGAAATATCGATCATTTAATGAACACAGAAAGGTCAGATTTTGGCAAGACAAAAGTTTTGTCGCCTACAGAAAATTGAACAAATAATTTACTTCAAATACAAAAATATGTTGCATAACGTCAGTGAATGAAGTAGTGGTGCTGTGAGATCCATATTTAATATCTTGTATGACTTCCATGAGCTTGAAGGACGCATCCATGCGGTTCGACAATGATTCATACAATTTGTTGATGAAGTCATCAGGAATAGCAAAGAAAGCGTCTTACAGCCTCCCAGAGTTCATCAATATTCTTTGGTTTTGTCTTCCATGCTTCCTCTTTCATTCTACCCCAGACCTGCTCAATGATGTTCATGTCTGGTGACTGGGCTGGCCAGTCCTGGACCACCTTGATCTTCTTCACCTTGAGAAACTTTGATGTAGAGATAGAAGTATGTGATGGAGCACCATCCTGCTGCAAAATTTGACCCCTTTTATGGTTGGGAATGTAAGAGGAGCTAATACTTCTTGATATTTTAGGTTATTGATATTTGCCTTCCACCCTGCAAATGTCTCGCACAGCCCCAGACTGGATGGAACCCAGACCAGGATTTTTCCACCCTAACCAAACTTAACTGTTTTCTGGGTGAATCTTGGATCCATGTGGCTCCAGTAGGTCTCCTGCAATATTTGCGGCGGCTGTGATGTAATTCAACCGAGGATTCATCTGAGAAATCCACCTTCTGCCACTTTTCCAGTGTCCATCCTTTTAGCAGGCTGTGGGCCTTGGCAAATGCCACACGGTTTTTTTAATTGCCTTTTGTTTAGTGCTGGTTTCTGTGCACTGATTCGACCATGGAGGCCATTTCGAGACAGAATTCTACAAACTGTTGTGGTTGACACAGGGACTTGAGGTGACCAGGCCTGGTGGAGTCTGCTGCAGTGGAAAAGGGGCCTTTGGATTTTTGAATCAACAAACGGTCCTCCCGAGCAGTTGTCTTGCGGCGTTTCTGCTGGACCTGGGCTTGTCAAAAAACATTTCCAGTCATTTCAGATCTTTTTCTTATTCTTTGTACTTGAAGCTGAGACACATTGAAGGTGTCACCACCTCAGCAGTGGATCTGGTCTTCAGCCTCTTGATAATTAAAGCTTTGGTCTCAGGGTGGATCTTAGGCATGTTGTCAGAGGTCAAGTTGCAGTTGATTTGAAGGTCTGGTGTGCTGGGCTTCTTTTTATACACACCCACTAACTGATTGATCAGTAACTGATCACAGGTGAGGCTGTAATCTAGGATTGGTGCATCATATATGACAAGACGACAAGACTTTTGTCTTGCCAAAATCTGACCTTTCTATGTTCATTTAATGATCAATCTTTCCTCAGTGAAGCAAATTTATTTTAGTATATTGAGCATAATTTGGGAGGGTTTTAGCTTTCATATGAGACATTTCTAAAACCAATCGATTAATTTAAAGTCAGGTGATAAGCTTTTGTTTCTACAAAATGGATAAGCGACAAGACTTTTGTCAGGGACTGTACAGTGTAAAATTGTAGCATTCATCAGGTGTATGTTAAAGTGTTTGTTACCTGTCGGATGAGTGTGGCGTAGGTGAAAGGAGGTCTTATGTCTGTGTTCTTGTAAAGTTCATATTCTTTCTCTGAGGAAGACAAAGATGCAGAGCGCCAACTGTTATGACCCAGCTCTGAACAGGGATATAAAAGGAAAAATAACAAATATAGTCTAAAATATTTACACAAATCTATTTAAAAAATAGACCCTAAAGAAAGAAACCAAAAGTGTGTGTGTTCATTTATGCAAATATGAGCTGCTGCAATGATTGAAATATGGAAATAATCAAGTATGATCCTAAGCATGACTAATCAGAATCAAACATATAGTAAAACATGTAGAACATATCTGAAAAGAACAACTGAGATCATGTATAAATATTATTTTCAGCCTGACCTGATGACAGAGAGTAGACCAGGGGGTGTTGTCGTACTGCTCCAGTGGAGGGGGGGTCAGGGGCCTCCTCCTCACTGCTCTCAGACTGGACTCTTTCAGATTGGAGCCTTTCAGACTGAATCCTCTCAGACTGGACTCTCTCAGGGTCCAGAGTGTGTGCAGAGTCCAGACTGACTGAGGTGAACTTCTGAGTGAGAAGCACAGATCCAACCTGAAGCATAAGACACATCATCCTAAACATGAACAAAGCTCTGGATCATCTTCAGTGTCTGAGTGTACATGCACATATAACTGAATATATAATGATTATTTCTTCACTTTAAACTAAGAATATTTAAATGACATGCATATTGTAAAACCTGATGTGAGGTACATTACATTTGAATAAACGTATGATTCCAAATTGTTACCAACTTTTGACAAGAAGTTAAAATTAACTTTTGCTCAAGAAATATTTGTTTTATTTAAGTATTTTTATGTAAGTAAGTTTGGCCAACTGTTTCTTTAATGGAATCAAAATAAAATTAAAAATCTTAACAGACAGTATCTATCTCTATGCACAAGGTGAAACCACCAGGCCACAGAAAATCTGTGCAGACACGAGCCAGCTCATTAATATTAATAATGCATGTCTTTAAAGGTATTTTTTGCAGTAAAAATGCAGGTATACGGATAAAATATAGATATGTTCAATGCCATATTGCGGAACATTTCCAGCAAACCAATATAACACTGGAATAATCAGGTGGCAGACAGTTATATAGTACTGTATAGGGCACCTTTAATTTTCTTTCCTGTTCATTTTTGTTTAGTTTTTGTTTTGCTTTTGTCTGCTACAATAATAATCTGACTGTTACTATGACAACACGTATTAGACAACAAAATTAACACATTAACAAAGAGTTTAAGGGCAGCAGCCACAGCAGACAGAAGCGACAGACTGGAACAAAACGATTGGATCCACTGCTCAAACACAGCCCTCTGAAATCACCGGAGGAAGAAGACAATTACGGATAATTAAAGGGTNTTCATTCTACCCCAGACATGCTCAATGATGTTCATGTCTGGTGACTGGGCTGGCCAGTCCTGGACCACCTTGATCTTCTTCGCCTTGAGAAACTTTGATGTAGAGATAGAAGTATGTGATGGAGCACCATCCTGCTGCAAAATTTGACCCCTTTTATGGTTGGGAATGTAAGAGGAGCTAATACTTCTTGATATTTTAGGTTATTGATATTTGCCTTCCACCCTGCAAATGTCTCGCACAGCCCCAGACTGGATGGAACCCAGACCAGGATTTTTCCACCGCCAAACTTAACTGTTTTCTGGGTGAATCTTGGATCCATGTGGCTCCAGTAGGTCTCCTGCAATATTTGCGGCGGCTGTGATGTAATTCAACCGAGGATTCATCTGAGAAATCCACCTTCTGCCACTTTTCCAGTGTCCATCCTTTTAGCAGGCTGTGGGCCTTGGCAAATGCCACACGGTTTTTTAATTGCCTTTTGTTTAGTGCTGGTTTCTGTGCACTGATTTCGACCATGGAGGCCATTTCGAGACAGAATTCTACAAACTGTTGTGGTTGACACAGGGACTTGAGGTGACCAGGCCTGGTGGAGTCTGCTGCAGTGGAAAAGGGGCCTTGGATTTTTCGAATCAACAAACGGTCCTCCTCCCGAGCAGTTGTCTTGCAGTTTCTGCTGGACCTGGGCTTGTCAAAAACATTCTCCAGTCATTTCAGATCTTTTTCTTATTCTTTGTACTTGAAGCTGAGACACATTGAAGGTGTCACCACCTCAGCAGTGGATCTGGTCTTCAGCCTCTTGATAATTAAAGCTTTGGTCTCAGGGTGGATCTTAGGCATGTTGTCAGAGGTCAAGTTGCAGTTGATGTGAAGGTCTGGTGTGCCTGGGCTTCTTTTTTCATACACACCCACTAACTGATCGATCAGTAACTGATCACAGGTGAGGCTGTAATCTAGGATTGGTGCATCATATGACAAGACGACAAGACTTTTGTCTTGCCAAAATCTGACCTTTCTATGTTCATTTAATGATCAATCTTTCCTCAGTGAAGCAAATTTATTTTAGTATATTGAGCATAATTTGGGAGGGTTTTAGCTTTCATATGAGACATTTCTAAAACCAATCGATTAATTTAAAGTCAGGTGATAAGCTTTTGTTTCTACAAAATGGATAAGCGACAAGACTTTTGTCAGGGGACTGTATAGTGTAAAATTGTAGCATTCATCAGGTGTATGTAAAAGTGTTTGTTACCTGTCGGATGAGTGTGGCGTAGGTGAAAGGAGGTCTTATGTCTGTGTTCTTGTAAAGTTCATATTCTTTCTCTGAGGAAGACAAAGATGCAGAGTGCCAACTGTTATGACCCAGCTCTGAACAGGGATATAAAAGGAAAAATAACAAATATAGTCTAAAATATTTACACAAATCTATTTAAAAAATAGACCCTAAAGAAAGAAACCAAAAGTGTGTGTGTTCATTTATGCAAATATGAGCTGCTGCAATGATTGAAATATGGAAATAATCAAGTATGATCCTAAGCATGACTAATCAGAATCAAACATATAGTAAAACATGTAGAACATATCTGAAAAGAACAACTGAGATCATGTATAAATATTATTTTCAGCCTGACCTGATGACAGAGAGTAGACCAGGGGGTGTTGTCGTACTGCTCCAGTGGAGGGGGGGTCAGGGGCCTCCTCCTCACTGCTCTCAGACTGGACTCTTTCAGATTGGAGCCTTTCAGACTGAATCCTCTCAGACTGGACTCTCTCAGGGTCCAGAGTGTGTGCAGAGTCCAGACTGACTGAGGTGAACTTCTGAGTGAGAAGCACAGATCCAACCTGAAGCATAAGACACATCATCCTAAACATGAACAAAGCTCTGGATCATCTTCAGTGTCTGAGTGTACATGCACATATAACTGAATATATAATGATTATTTCTTCACTTTAAACAATAATCCTTTAAATGATGCATATTGTAAAATCCTGATGACTGAGTGTATACATACATTGAGATCCAACCTGAAGTATGACAATCCTAAAATGAACAAAGCTCTGGATCATCTTCAGTGTCTGAGTTTACTGCACATATAACTGAATATATAAACTTTGACAAGAATACATTAATTGTAATTAACTGTTTGCTGATGTGAGGTACATTACATTTGAATAAACGTATGATTCCAAATTGTTACCAACTTTTGACAAGAAGTTAAAATTAACTTTTGCTCAATGTTTGTTTTATTTAAGTATTTTTATGTAAGTAAGTTTGGCCAACTGTTTCTTTAATGGAATCAAAATAAAATAAAAAATCTTAACAGACAGTATCTATCTCTATGCACAAGGTGAAACCACCAGGCCACAGAAAATCTGTGCAGACACGAGCCAGCTCATTAATAATAATGCATGTCTTTAAAGGTATTTTTTGCAGTAAAAATGCAGGTATACGGATAAAATATAGATATGTTCAATGCCATATTGCGGAACATTTCCAGCAAACCAATATAACACTGGAATAATCAGGTGGCAGACAGTTATATAGTACTGTATAGGGCACCTTTAATTTTCTTTCCTGTTCATTTTTGTTTAGTTTTTGTTTTGCTTTTGTCTGCTACAATAATAATCTGACTGTTACTATGACAACACGTATTAGACAACAAAATTAACACATTAACAAAGAGTTTAAGGGCAGCAGCCACAGCAGACAGAAGCGACAGACTGGAACAAAACGATTGGATCCACTGCTCAAACACAGCCCTCTGAAATCACCGGAGGAAGAAGACAATTACGGATAATTAAAGGGTGAAATTGTTTTGGAGTGTTGTGATTACGGAGCAGTATTTGTGATATTAACAGCTGATTAGTTTGTATGTTAAACCGAGCGTGTCTCAGGCGCTAAACATAATGGAGCCATCGGACACAGCGGCACACACCTGGAGCTGGACACAAAGGAAGAAAAGAGTTTGGTTACCACTGAATATGAAAGTCTTTATCATGAGTTTGACATAGTTCCTTATATTTGCACTGCACATGACAAGCTCGATCTGCATCTCAGTGTATCATACTATCATTATTCATTCTCCAAAGATTTTATTGTGGTGGTGTGCTACTTTTGTAGAGGATGCATGACTTTTTAAAGGCAAAAACAAACCTGATTGCATTTTAGAGCTGCAAAAACATGTTAATCGTGTAGTCTGGATGTGTGGGGAACTTCACAGAACTGTAGAAGCAGCTTGTGAAACATTCGATTATAAACCTTTTGTCCAGTTGACAGAATTGAATTTCTCCTTTGCTATACATCTATTTATGAAAGCATATTGATGATAGAAGATTTTTGCGTTGGATGAGAAGCAGTTTCCAGAGACAGAGAGAGAACTATGTGGAGACTATAGAGTTGGAGAAGGGACAAAGAGGGCAGACATAACACTTCATTCTGTAACATGTTCTTCACTCATCATGGTTCAAAATCACATCCAGGCCATGCCAGAGTCAACTTCACTGATGAAAAGTGAAACCAAAACAAGACAATTTCTGGCCCTGACTTCGTATAGTTTTCCCTCACAGCTCTGTGCGGGGCTCATTTCACGGCTCATTTGTCTTTGTCCTTTCTTTGTCTCAGTCTTTACCTGTGCAGTCAGAGGGTCAGTGGGTCTGTCCAGTGGAGCAGGAGAAGCCTCTAGAGAAGGTAAACGCAGGTGAGACATCATGGCCTGGAGACGCTTCTTCTCCTTACAGAGCTGTGCACAACAATCCACACACGGCGTCAACACACAGGAAAAAATCTGTCCGCTAGTGTTACATAGATAAACTTACATTACTTGTTTGTATTTTTTTTTTTTTTTTCTTGGCATGACAAAACTACACTTATGATTTTATATTCTTAATCATTATAAAGAATTTTCTATCAATGTAATAAGCATTTAAATAAAATCTAGTCACAAATAGAAGCATCGTCTGGCTGCAGAGCTCCTCGATCTCCACTGGTACAAAGTAGGGATGGGCATTCGATGAAATTTCATTAATCGATCATCGGGAGAATTAACGATCGATTATTGATTCATCATTAATGTTTTTACGTTAAAATGATCATGATTATTATAACTACTAATTTGCATAAATAAATTGAACTTTTTTTTTAAAACTCAACATATAAAGTATAACCACTCTAGAGCCACATCAGCCCGTTTGACATTATCATGTGTTTGATGCAGATTTGTGCAAGTCTCACGGAAACAAAACTTAAAACCACATGGCTAATTTGCATAAACTAAGTGAAGAAAAAAGCAGCTCTTGTGACTCAGTGGAATACAGGTTAGTGTGACCATATTTGTGTTTGTCAAAACCAGGACACCGTACGGGGGGAGGGAGGTGGGGACTCGTCATCGACATTGAGCGACTCTCACCTGGCAAAACTTTTTCACGTTTTTCGGTGTCCTGGTGCTTTGAGGTCCCTGGCACCCCCACTGGACACCGAAACATATGTGCTGATTTGTACACTGTGCACATGGTCTCACACTTGTTTCAACTGGGACGGAAAGCAGGGAATTTCTTGTGCAAGTCATCGTTAAATGGGCATTTGCGCTTCGGCAAGTTGCAGGCTGACCGACTGTTTGTGTCTGCTCGCTCCTTCTGAGTGCAGAGAGAGCTACAAAAGACGCTCAGTTTAATGGCCCAATGAAAGATAATGAAAACCTCAACATTTGCATCACTTTATGAAAAAAAAAAAAAACCTGGACGGGGAAAAATGGATGTTTGGTCACCCTACACTACGCACAGCGACCTACATTCAGTTTGTTGATTAAAAATGAACATAATCGACGAAATTCTTAATGATCAGTTATCAATTAATGACTAATCATGCCCATCCCTAGTACGAAGTTTCACAACCAAACCCAAACCTCAGTCAACCATGTTACTGTCATAAATCAATGCATGTGTGTTATGAAGCGTTTTGTACTCGACCCTGGACGTGATGTAGTTGAGCTTTTTGCAGAGCTCTGTATAGCGGCTGCAGCCAGACTCTGTTGAATAGGATGCTTCTCTTACCTGGACTTGGAGCTGCTGCACCACCTGCCTCTGGACTCTGCACTGAGCTGTGGTTTTGTCGTCCAGACTGTGCTCACTGTCCATGTGTCTGAAAGGTGCACAGATTATGATCACTTTGAAATTATAGAGAATCATTATTAGTATTGTCCCACAACTTAAAATAATGTAAGTGTAGAAAATGGATCATAATGCAGCAGTAATTACAGGATGCGAGGTGCATGGACTTGGATTTCCACCTAATGTCACCACGAACTTGAAGAAATTAGTCTCTGCTCTGAAGGGGTTGATGGTGTAAATATTATAACATGATTAAAGGGCAAACAGATCTGGAGTTGTGTTTTATTTCATTCTTAAACATGTGTATGTTTAACACACAAACCCTGCACATTTAGGCAGAGTTCAAACAAAAAACACTGTTCCACCTTGTGATGTCATGTGGTAATACAGAAGTGCTTCACTGTGTTTTTAAACTCCATACACCTTCACTACAATCATCTGAATCATTTCAGCCCTGGAATTTTCAGTATCTACAGAATCAAAGGTAGATGCTAATTTAACTTAAAACTATTGCTTCATGACATCACAAGGTGGAACAGAGCATTTTGAGCTTTGGAGATGTAGACAGACTAATAATAAAAGAATACTCAAACATGTGAATGAAACAAAACACAACTCAGGTCTGTTTTTGAGGATGAAACAGCACTGTTGTTTTTGTTTTTCTTTTTATAATCCCTGTATGAAAATTGTCCTTTGCATTTCACCCGTCCTTTCAGGAGCAGTGGGCAGCACATGGGCCCTCAGGGACCCAGCTTCATGATCTTGTTGCTAGGCTTGGTCAGGATTGCCTTAGCTGCAGGACTGAATCTATGCTGCATGTTTTGAGATGATGGTGGAAACTGGTAGCCTGATTCATCAACCAGTTTCACTTTGTAGAAGAATTAGAATTCGTTCGCTCAACGGTAGGCGAGTACTTTTTATCATTTAACCAATCGCGATGTATGTAATGTGCCGCTAACAGGGCTAACTGGTATATTAAGCTTTTCCCAAATCTTGTATGAAGAAGGACAATAACGTCTTTCCCCTTGATAAAAATCACTAAACATTCTCTTTGTTCAGTCTTTAAATCCTGGATCTCGGAATCGTTGACAACACAGAATGTCTGGCTCTTTGGTGATTGGCTTTTGCCCGAACTTGCTCTCCTGGGTTTTTGCAAACCGTCTAGTGTATTCTGATTCCTGACCTAGTCGCTGGAGAGAAATGTAACTGAGCGGAGGCACTAGGTGGCACCAGCCTGACTAGCGTGTCCGGAGGAAACCCACCCAGATACGGTGAGAACATGCAAAGTCCACACAGAACAGCCCAGGTGACCCGGGGATTGAACCTGGAATCTTTTTCTTTCTTACTCTACATCGTCATATACAAACCACCTCAGCACTGTCAAAGTTTTATTGATGATTTTACTGAGATGCTTTCAGTTGTTTGCACAGACTTTGATGGTTTAGTCATTACAGATGATTTTAATGTACATGTGGATAATGTGTGTGACAAAAATGCCAAAGAGCTTAGTGTTGTCCTTGAAACTTTTGGTCTGACTCAGCATGTCAGTGAGCCCACTCACAACAGAGGACACACTCTGGACTTTGAGGAGCACGAAGCTCAAGCACCGTGTCCACAGCAGCTGAACATTACTGAGTGTACACTGCAGTGTAGAACAATGAGCTTATGCTGTCGCTTTTGTTTAGGTGTTCATGTGGAAATTGTCAGTGGATGCGGGGTGCAGGAGGGGTGGAGGCAGTGGAGTGGGGGAGGGGGACGGGTGGGAAGCGCTTTCTGCTACGTCAAATATGTCATAGGTGTATCTGCCGCGTCATCGTTGTAACAGCTTTAGTTCGTTGTCACGTGGGAGGGTGGCAGAAATACACTGCAATTTGTTAAAAAAAACAATCTAAAAAACACTTACATACATCATATACATGGCCCACACATCACTCTTAGAAGGTAGAAAGCTCTGAAAAGTTGATTTTGCATGAGATGGGCCCTTTAAACCAAATTGGCAATCAATGGCCTTAATTTTTCCTTCATTGAAACACATAAACAGTTCATACGAGTAAGAGCGTACATTACACTGTCAGCACACGCTCCCGTTCTGTGTTGAGACTTACTTGATGAATTGGCTGAAGTCGACACAGACCGCATCACAGCCGGGCCACGCACACACACCATGACTGAAGAGTGTGTGTGTGCAGTCTGCTTTAACAACACTAAAAACACAAATGAAACTAGCATCACCCAAAAGTAATAATCAAACACGACACAGATTTTGGGAAACTAATGACTTGTGATTTGGGGACATGTAGTTTTTTAGTTTAAAGGGTGAAACAAACAAGAGCACAGAATTCCCAGTGGGACATGAGGCTCTACAAAGAACAGTGTGAGTGAAAACATGTCTTTGATGTTTCCCAAAAATACAGAATATTTTGGGTTTCATTTCAGGCTCAGTGTATTTTAACAGTGTACCTTTTTGGATCAGGAGGTAGAGACTTGTGCTCACTGCCCTGTTTCTCTGCTGGGACGTTATCGATGTCTTTAACTTCTGTTATTCCGCTCAGGAGCTCTTTCCAAATCAGCTGAAATTCTGCAACAATAAAAATGTGTTTATTCTTTTTCATTTCAATATTGTGTAGTCTTACTTTTATATTGCACACAACTACACTATTTATCGTATTTTCCGGGCTATTAGTCACTCTGGATTATAAGACGCACTAAATGGTCTATTTTCGAACTTTTTTTTTTACAAATACATCGGACTTTAAAGGAAACACAACAGTTGGATGGGTCAGTGGGACTTTGTTTGGCGCATTTACGGTGACTAGGGTGACCATATTTCCGTTTGTGAAAACCCGGGTGGGTCAGGACTAAACCAGGTCTAAATCAGGACTAATCTTGGACTTAAGAGAGAGAACCCGAGCAGTTTGTCCGCAAAGCGCGATCGGGCAATTGCCGCATTTACCTCCGTGAGGTGCGGAGCTCTCCATCGGTCCTTTCTCCTGCTGTCACCTCCGAGCCCATCCCAACAGTGAGTTCTGTTTCAGTTCTGGTTTAGTCCTGGTTTACTCCTGTTTTAGTCCTAGTTCAGTCCTGGAATTAGTCCTAGGTTAGTCCTGGGTTAGTCTTAGTTGAGTCCATGGCGTAGGCAGCACAAAGTTTGATATAATCTCAGGTTAACGGGCAGGTGCGGTGCTGTATTGCGGGTCTCCAAAAATGGAGCGGTGCAGGACTCTGCACTGTAGGCTCCATTACGGAATAAATGAATCTTCAGTTCGTTACATAAAGAAGGAGAAAAATAACAAAAGGACGACAGCAGCAATAAGTTTTAAGAAAGATGTAAAAAGGTTTGTAACTGTCCTGTCTGAAAAAAGTGTGTGCTGAGGGGTTTTACAGACTTAAAACAGATAGAATAACTGTAAAATATAAAGTTGACTACTTTGCAGATTAAACCTATCGCAGGTTATTTTTAGAACGTAACCCCAGCAATAAACTAGAAACCACTGTACTCTCACTTCGTAACCTGTGCACATGGCCTCCCACTTGTCCCGACCGGGATAGAAAACAATGTGCATTTGTGCTTCAGCATGTTACAAACTGACCGACTGTTTGTGTCTGTAACTCAGAAGGAGTGAGCAGAGAGCTACGAGAGCCGCTCAATTTAATGGCCCAATGAAAGGAAATGAAAACACGGACATTTCCATCACTTAAAAAAAAAAAAGACCCGGACGCCCAGGACAGGACGCAAAATACGGACATGTCCAGGGAAAAACGGACGGTGACTCTGGGCTTTGTTCAGTTGTGGCGTGTAGGGAGGGTGCTGTCTGGGGCCGCTGGATTGTCGGTGTGTTCGCAGTGACTCAGTTGTTCAGTTGTGTCTAGAAGTGGCACATTGCGCCTGCTTTTTCGGTTTGTTCCTCTGTTCCGTTCCTCGTCTGCGTGGAGTGATGAGTGTGTCTGTGGGTGTGTTTCGCTGTGCGGTCGCTGTCTGCTCCGTGTGTGTTTGTGTGTTCTGTGAGTGGTGTGGCTTTGTAGTTTACTGAAGTCGTGCTGGGACACCCGAGTGGATTCATGTATAGGGCGCTCTGGATTGTGGGGCGCGCATTCGTTTTTTGATGGTGTTGGAGACTTAAGAGTGCGCCCTATGGTACGGAAAATATGGTTAGTTTGTAGTTAGTTAGTGTTAGTAAAATGTGTTTTGTCCCAGTGCAGATGTATTAAGGTCAAAATAAAGCCGCTATGTGCTGACTGCATCGAATAATGTGTTTTTATCAGCCATGTGCCACTGTGGCCTCTGAAAATTGTCAAACTCGCTTCAGTAAATAATAATTTCAAAAAATGATGATTATTTTTGTATTATTTTTTTAAAATCTGGTATAACTTGCTAAACAAAATGCCACGTACATTCTTCATTTTTCATTCAAGGTCCCAAATAAGGCTTTAAAAATCACCTTTGGACACATTAACACTTATACTGTACTTTTATGTTGTATTTTAGGTTTAAAATGAGATTGTGCATCTATCGCTGTCTCAGTCAATGAACTTTTTATTTGTTGGAGCATTAGAAAGAGTGGAGACCTGGAGGGAGGCAGGAGGAAGAGGAGGAGGGCACTGGCCTCTGGAGGAGTTGCTGCTGCTGGAGCTGAAGGAGCTGCTGGAAAACCCACTGCTGACAACTGGGAGCCTGAGTCAGAGGCACACAGGGAACAGTAAATAAGTTCAGTCAATGTGAAGTTTATGGTACTGCAACCAGAAGCATGGGGACCTCTGGAAATGCACACAAAAACTGAAACACAACGGTCACTCTACAAATGACACTTCTCTTCACACAAGCTGAGATAAAGCAAATTACAAAATAAACATACTTTATCATTTTACCTCATACATGAACTAAAGTTGCATTGCTTTTATTTTAGAGATGTTTTTTAAATGACATTTTTTGTAAGACAACCACACTTTTTCATTGCTTAGTCATAACAAACTCTTCCCAGTCTGATCAGCTCATCAAAACAAAATTCTTTACTGCTTTTTATAAAGAAATACAATTAATATTATGCAGAATTGAGTTTTGGCCTCCACAATATTTTCTGTTTCTCATGTGGCCCCATGGAAAAAATAATTGCCAGCCCTGACTTACAAAGAAAAAAAAGGGAAAAAAGACTCACATCTTTGAGTTTTTTTCCACTGTGCTGTTTGAGGAGCTGCAGGTGAATCTGTTGTTGTTGCTTTTTGTAAAAGTCTTTCAGATGTTGCTGGAAAAACAGTGTAAAAAGAAAATAGAAACAAGTCTTTAATATAATGAGAGAACAATCAAAAAGTCAGTGAAACATCCAACATTTCTGCGCTGTTTTGTTTCTTTTTACTGCCTGATGCTTGAACCTCAACTAAGACATTTACAGGTGTGATCATGAAGGTCAGAGGTGGATCAGGTCACTTCCTCTTCCTGAGCAGGACTAACGCATGCTTATTTATGGTTGTGGTAACAGTTTTCTTTGCATTAATCTTGTTTTTCCACTCGTAGCATGTCTCCTTCACGCCGGCATTAGGGTGGAGCCTCAGTCCTGCAGCAGCATCTCCACCTCTCCTGTACCAATCAACCGTAATGTTTTGTTTAACCTGTCATAAAAGCTGCCTAATGCTGTTGGAGCCACACCCTGACTGTCTTGTTTTGTTATTAAAGTTACGTGTAGTTGACTTGGAATAATTATAAGAAATATTTTCAGAAAAGTCCTGAGGGCAAATCTGGGGAAAAGTCAGTAAACGTGCTATTTCCCATCATTTGAAAGTGCTGATTCCAAATATTTTGTTTACCAAGCTGGATTTTGAGTTTTAACACTGCTAATTATCATAATTTTTAGCTGCTGAGGGCAAGTACCGTCTCAACTGTTACAAGAAATTTCTAAGAAGAGCATCAGAGTCAAGAGGAGAAGCAAATGATGAGCAGGGAGAATACTGATGTGGTTGATTCATGACTTAAGGAAATCTGCAGCAAATGGACACATTTTGGAACTGAAAGAAGTTTACTCACTACTGCTCACTGCTACCAAAGAAGGTGTTGAAATCTCACATTCATTTCTTTCTCTCGTATATCGACGCTCAAGGAAGACATTGAGCCTCATGTAACTGACGTTTACGAATTCATAAAACTACAAAATGAAGAGATTACAGAGTGGTACAAACAGTGCTTCTGCCAACTGAATTTGTGCATATTCCAGTGTCTAAATTATTGAATTAAAGGAATGGATGCTGAGGATGATGAGTATTTGATACGTGTCTACAGCCCTGACATGGAAGATGATTTTCTGTCAGTGGTGGATGTGGCCCTACAGCTTCACTCACAGTCAGCACACAAAGGCCTTAATACTTCTAAAGAGAATCTAAAAACATACCATATTATCATCATATTACACATCATTATGACTCCTGCACCATTTTAACACTCAAATATGATTTTTGAGATCAGTGCTATTTTGTTTTATTGATTACTTTAGAAATAAATGGAAAAAACAAATTCCATATTAATATGCACATTCATATGTAAATTAGAAGGCTTAGAACTCAAAATCCAGCTTGGTAAACAACATTCAGAATAAGCAACCTCAAATGATGCAAAAAAAAAGGTTTACTAACTTTTCCTCAAATTTGCCCTCAGGACTTCTCTTCTTGTGAAAATAATCCTGATGTGTAGATTTTGTACGTGTTACACAGGTTAACTACACAAATATGCTGAGTTACTTAATCACACTACACTGTGTCATGAAGTTCTCTCCATGTAGAGTCTTTTACCTGTTGTAAGAGCAGAGCCTGTTGTTTGTGCTGGAGCAGAGCCTGGAGTTGGTTTGGAGTGAGGAGCTGCTGCTGTGGAGCCATCATGGCCATCACCAGCTGCACACAGACAAGCAGCAGAACCACACAACTGTTAGGAAGTCTAATAATAAAACACATAAAAATAACACATGGCAAATCCGGTGCATCTCAGCAGGGTCAAATATATGGCATGAATTTTGTTGGAAAAACCTAATGAGATTTTTCATTACACAAGTACAAGAGATACCAAGGAACAGATGATGCCTGCTGCAGATGTGGGAATGACGGGGCTAGTCATTTCCATATTTTTGGGGAATGTGGGGTCATCCAAGAATACTGGTCAGAGATTCATGAACATCTGTAGAATGGCATACTTCCATACCTGACATATTGTATTGAAATTTGGGGCAATAACTACCAAACATTACTTCTTCCCATTTTCAAATTGCAAAAACGTGTAGTGAGAATAGTGCATAAGGTTGGTTACCTGCATCATACAAACGATTTGTTTTTCAAATCAAAATTTTTATTATTTTTTTATTTAGTGAAATTCCACACTGCTTTGCTTTTGCATAAAGCAAACAAAAATATGCTCCCGTTAAATCTCCAAAAACTGTTCAGTACACATGAAGTTCATTATGAATTAAGGGGAAGGGGTAGCTCAGTTGGTAGAGCATTCGCCCACTGATCTGAAGGTCAGCGGTTCACAGGTTGAGTGGTCAGATCCACTGACCCACAGGTTGGCTGGTGTGATTCCAGCTCCCACAGGTGAATGCTGCCGTTGTGTCCTTGGGCAAGACACATAACCCACCTTGCCCGCAGTGTCTGCGTACACTGGTGTGTGAGTGTGTATGTGAATGGGTGAGTGGTTCCTTGTTGTAAAGTGCTTTGAGTGCCTTGAAGGTGGAAAAGCGCCATAGAAAAATGTGACATTTACCATTTACCAAGGGGTCAATTTAAAACAAAAGTGAGAAGCACCAGGAAAAGCCTGTGTGTATCTGACCCCATGTGTGGGGTCAGTCTATGGAATGGGTTGGGAGAAAACCTGAAGCAGTACAAAATGGGAAAAAAACAAAAACAAAACATTTTGGGGTTAAAATTATATTTTGTTTGCATGATATGTAATTTATTTTTGCTATATGTAAATATCTGTTAAGATCTGTGATCAATGTACAGAAGCAACCACATACATTTTGAAAATAGGGGTGGGTTCATATAAGTTTTTCTTCTTCCCACTCCTTTTTGAAAAATGTGCTTTTCTGTTGGTTACAATGTATATGTAGTATATATGATAATTGTTTCTCTCTTGGCACAAACTCGAAATAAAAATGAATCAATCAATCATTTGTGACTTACCACCACTGATTGTGGAGTGACTGAATAATGAACTGTAAAGGGCTTTGGGTATCTTGAAAGGTGCTATATAAATACTATCAATCAATCAAAATGTAAAAACAGGAAAATTCTGCCATGTAATCCATTTATTTTAACAAAGTAACTTTAATCCAGTTACCGCTCATTGAAACAGTAACTGCAACTGAATACAGTTACTCATAATTTGTACTCTGATTACGTAACTCCCTTACATCCGTTACTCCTCAACACTGTGTATATGTTTAAAAATGTAAAAGCAGGAACATGTGATTTCATTTTACACATTGCAAAGTGTAATCTGCTTTTACACATAAAAATAAAATAGGCCTGTTGCCTGATGATGCGTAAGTAAATATTAGAGGAGTTTGAAAGCATTTTAATGGTATCGGATCAACATTGTGATGCTTATTATTTGGTATCATATCAAAGCAAAAATCATCGGTATCACTGGTCTATTTCTTTCAAAAACAGTGAATCTTGATACAGTTACTCGTGCCTTTTTTCAGAAATCACAACATTAAATTCTACAATGTCGTGAACACAATCTATACCCTTATATAAGTGAAAATAAACACAACAACAGACAATAGACGAGGCGAGTGTCAGTGTTAAACAGTAATTCACCTCCATGGAAGCGTCTTCAGTCCAATTACCAAAGTGTTGAACGTTTGGAGAACATCATTAGAGCAGATGTGTGGTGACCCTGAGCTGGAGCTGACCACATAATTAGGAACACAATTACATGCATGTTGTGGCTCTAATAGAAGTGTATGCGTATTAATAAAGCCAAACACGCCCGGAATAATAATTCTACTTTAGCTAAATAACACTGGGATTTACCGTCTTTGTGCAGATGTTCTTTACAGATGCACGCAAACACACAGATACAACAAATTTTACAGGAATATTTACTACAAAGTTTTTTTTTGTGTTTTTTTTTTATCTTGAAATTATGTCAAAAATTGCAACCAAATATATTACAATAAGCGCGACCTTGTTTGGATTTCTGTTTCAACCAATACTGACATATACAATTTTTGTATCATTGTTGTAGCGAATAACTATTTTCCAATATCACTATTAATTAGGGGTGCAAAAATATCAAAATATCGATATATTGTATAGTTTAATGTGATTATACAGTATTAATATTGTGGGCTGCTGTATTGATATATCACCAAAAGTATTTTTTTGGTATATTTTACTCAATTATTTTGTTACAGCTACAGTTTTATTGCTTGTTCAGAGGAAGGAAACTCATTTATGTGACACATTTGACATTTTCACTGTTTTGTTGATTAAAATGTTTGTGTTTCATATGAACTTTGCACAAGAAGTGATTTAACAAAGACTTTTTAGTATCACAGCCATGATTTAGACTTTAGTTTAGTTTTTATTGAACTGTATAAAATAGATTTGAAATATATTGACTCGAATTGAAAGCTCACTATATCTAGATATGTATCGTACCATGGCCTATGTATCGAGGTATATATGGTATCAGCAACTTCTGAATGATACCCAGCCCAACTATCAATATATTTATTTTTAAATGATGTCAAGCTCCACATAGGGGAATAGATCTGTATTTAATGTGTTCATTTTGATGTCATTTAAGGAGTTGTTTTATGTGAACACTGATTTGTGGCTCTCATCTATTGTAAGTGTTTAAACAAACCTCTGGACTGATTGAGTTTTGGATTAGATTTTTGATTGAGTGCAATATTTAAATACAGTGCAATATTTAATAAAGTGCAATATTTAATAAAGTGCAATATTTAAATACAGTGCAGTGAGTTTTTTGTCGTCTTGTGTGTCACAGCCTTTTTTTATGTTTTGCATCAGTACTACAGACCTATTTATTTAATCTATCTTTTATTTATTCTTATTGTCTTATTCTTATTTTTTCTTATTCTCTGTGTATAGTGTGGATTGTTCATAACGTATTATGTATATTGACAGTAAAAGACATTTTATTCTATTCTATTGGTCACAGAAGTGAAAATAGAACCAGTTTAGCACTTCAGTGAAAAACGGGGAAATGCTGCTCTCAAGTGTCAAGACTTGTAAGTAGTAAAACAAACAAGTAATAAAGATGTTCCTTCAGTAAATGGTCATTATTTTAAATGTAATGTTCTAAATATATATATCTCTATACATGGGACTTTTTAAAATGAGCCAATATTAAGGCAAAATATTTTAGTATCACTTAGTTCTGTGGTAATTGTATCTATTTCTCTTTCTTTATCCATATTGAATTACACGATTCCATATGGATAGACAAAGAAAATTCAGTATTCTGCAGCAGCTACATTGAAACAAACACGACACAGCATCCATCCTCTTCCATTCATCAGGTAGAGACGTAAAGAGAAGCTTGAATAAAGGACTCCCCTGTCTGCCCCCCTTTAATTTAATATAATATATGATTTAATATAAAAATACAACTTCACTTCTTATTCTAGAGAAATAATTTGGATTGATTCAGTTTCTATGTAAATCTAAAAAATGTTGTGATTTTCTGAAGGCTTTAAACATAACCTGTAATCGTCTTATGCACAGTGGTGTTTCTGGCCTGTGTGGCTTTGTCAACCGTCATGACCCGTTTATTGTATTCTAGTTTTTATGATTATATTGTGACATGTGTAATCACAATTATCCATTAACCAAGTAATAATCATTTCAGGTTTGTCTTTAGAAAATCCAGCTCGAGACATCAAAAACATCATTAGCTGCTCACTCCAAAGATTTCTGTCCAAACCTTTTTAACACATATTTCTGAAAAGCCACTGACATAACACTATCTCCATTATCCTGCCTCACAAATACGCAGATAACCATTTATGTTATGATTAAATGCAAAACGACATTACACTGGAGAGGCTGGTCTTTTATCAAACCTGAGAAAACCTGCCTCTGCTCTCTGCCGTCTTCATTTGAAATACTTTTGGAGTTTTTTTTCTTTTGGTTTGGAAAAGTTTCATATCAGGAGCTGTTATTGTGCTTTTTACGTTGAAAATCACACTCTAGGATTCAGTGGCGTTCTGACATTGACACTTCATTATAGACACTGAGAAATACCACAAATGTATACTAGTACTATGCTCGAAAGAGGAGATACTAGGTCCATCCACAGTTGTAATGTAATGTAGAAATATGGTATAGCAGTAATTAGTTTGTTTTTACTAATTATTGTAGTTAGTCCCAAAGGTCAGTGGGTCAACTCCAACTAACGCTCAATACTGTTCCACTAACATTCAAAGATTATAACTTTTAGGACATGTAATCATCTTTAATATATTTGAAACTAACCTATGTTTGATTTTGGATACATGCATACTGTTGTTGTGCTCTTGGGCCAGATATTTTGCCCACCTTGCCTATTTAAATGTGGTGCGTGACAAGAATAAAATATGTTGGTTTAGATCAGGGGTGTCAAACTCAAATTCACAAAGGGCCAAAATTAAAAACTGGGACTAAGTCATGGGCCAAACTAAATACTTATAGAAAAATGTCAACAACATCTGCATGTTTTCTCTTCTTTCGAGATATGTAATGATAAACCTTTTCTTATTAAAATAAAAGTTTAATAATAGTTTTGCTTAAACATTGAATCCAGAACAAACTAAATATAAAATAATAACAACATTTGAAATAAATAATGTCTCCATAGTCTATCTGTGTGCGGCAGGCAGCTCTTATACATATTTGATAGGATCTCACCGGTCAAATATAATAATATCATGGGCCAAATTTGGTCCCCGGGCCTGAGATTGACATGTCTGGTTTAGACGCTCAGTCAGTTTTTGGCATTCAGATTCTTGTCCCATTTTCACAACTTTGATGACTGTGACTATTGTTGGAGCTTGTCTTGAACCATTTCCCCTTTGGATGATGGGTAAAGTTGTACTGTCTGTTTCTAGTCAGTGCTACAGCTCGACTGACCCAAACACCCCCGTACAACAACATCGAGCTGTTTGACTGTGTGCTCCATAATGAGACTGTTTGGGACAATTATTTATGCAAAGCCAAAAGTTCTAGTGAGTAAGAACAGACTTTTTGAACAGACTTTTTTTTTATATATATATATATAATTTTTCACACATTTTTAAACTTTTATTAATTTATTTATTTTTTGAATTACACCACTAATTGAAACCACAATTAAAATTTGTTGGCTTTACTTTCAGTGCTGCCTTTGTAATAATGTAGAAATACATTTTAATATGAAAAAAAACAAAAAAAACATTAACATTATTTTACTATATGAAATTAAAAACTTGTTCTGTGTATTATTATTATTATTTTTTATTTTTTTATCTCAATCTAAAATGTGTCTCAGATGAAGTGCAGCGGGAGTCACTGAACCATTATAAATATAATAGCAGATCATAGTCAGCTGTTGCAGAGATAACAACAGAAAATTCTATTCTGTCAACTGGACAAAAACTTTGAATGATATTAGCCATTAAGAAAAAATGAACCATAAACCAACTACATTCAGCAAATTCTGCCATAAATCCCCATGAAGCTTCCCTACATCTACATTTTAAAAGAAATATGTTGTTAGAATTTAGAATAAAACATTTGTTATTATTTTGAGTAGTAAATTAAATTTCTGCACTTGGAACGAGACATGATCTTTATTATTATTATTATTATTATTATTATTATTATTATTATTATTATTATTATTATTATTATTATCATGTCTCATGGGATTTCTCTCTTGGTCCACAACTATTTTAGTCAAACTGCAGAATAGAATCAAGCTAAATCCTTAATTCAGTCCATTTGAAGTTCAAGTTTCGAGTTGTGTGTGTTTGTTGTGTGTTTGTTGTGTGTATTGGTGTGGCCCCAGAGCAGCTCACCTGTCTGTGCTGGAGGCTGTGCCAGTGGTGAGCGCTGGTTTCTCGGCAGGACGCCCCATTAGGCGAGCTCTCGTTGGCCCTGGTGTCTGAGTGAGAGAGGAGCGAGCTGACGGAGCTTTGACGAGCGGTGGAGGGGCTGAGGGGCGACTCCGGCATCGCACTCTCACTCTAACCAACATGTACAGCACACACACACACACACACACAGATTTATTTAGACTTTTACATAAATCATTAAACAAAAGTGGAAATCAGGATGCAAATGATTTCTCTATATTACAGGCGAGGGCATCTTGAAAATCTTGTGGTGTCAGTAAGTGAATGAATTTAACAATGGGAAATATCCATAAACAAACAAATTTAAAGTGTAACAATAAACTGCTAATATGTGAAGCTTTTTTGTTCCCTTTTTAAAGCAGAACTTATTTTTACAAGCTACATTTGAAATCAGAAACACAAATAATATTATTAAAATGATAACACAATATAAATCAAAATCTAAATATCAAAATACTTAAAATATTCAGCCAAAAAGAATAATAAATTACACTTTTCCTTATCAACAAGTACAGATCAATTTGTGCATGCTTCAAACAATTCATAAACTTGTCTGAAAGTCGTCCACATGCATTCACTTTAGATTATTAACACTAATTGTAATAGTAATAGTAATAGTAATTTGAGCGTTTCTTACCTGTCTCGTTGTTGGGCTGTGTTGTGTATTGTGAGCAGAGCTGAAGTGTGTGTCTCTGTGTGGAGTGAGACTCAGATCTGAGAGATTCTTCTTTTACCTGAGGAGGAGGAGGAGCCTCTGTCACTCCACGGCACAGTCACAACACATCCCCCATTTCCTAAGACTTTAATCGTCACACTCTTCAGAAATCTCAAGCGTTGTCACATCGTATTTATATTGTAACCCCGAAAGTCTGTCCGGTCAAATGCTCGAGCCTGTTCTTATTTAGGTTGTGTCTCTGGGCCTTATGCTTGAATCTGAGCTTTGTGAGTGGTTGGTGATGATCGGAGAGGCCATCGGCTCATAACGTCAGTCATGTGTCTATCAATTTGCCCCGTGGCAGCTGTAGTTACTGAAACTTGCCATCATCACGTTTGACTAGTGCAATGAATTGTTCTCTATTTGGAGCAGTATATATCCACATTTCACAGATTTAACTTGAACTGTTCGGTCTTTGTGCATTTATTTCTACATGATTTTTTGGGTTGTGTCTGAGACTTTATTTAGCATTGCTGTGTCTAAGAACAACAACTGTCATAGCAGAATCAAAGTGCTATTTACGGTTCTGTCTTCAGTCTTATTTATCCTCCAAAACAAACAAAAGGATAAGTGCTTGTGATAAAGGCTGTAACCCAGATTATAGAGATTTAGCACAAGCAGAAATAGAGCAACTTTATTTTAGAGCGACTTTGTAGAGGCATGTCAGCGTGCGGAGAGTTAGTTTCAAATGATCTGCAACAGAATATTATTTATGAAGATTTGTTTTGTTTTTGTTATGACTAATAGGATAGTCTCAGTGGACCTCCAGTATGTCCTGTCCACAGTCTCAAGAAGAGGACCAGGCTCTTCAAGTGATTCACAAAATATATTTAGATCCTTGGTGATAAGTAACATGAAGCTCACTCTGTCAAAGAATCAAACCCGGGAAATTTTTACTGTGACACTGAAGTGTTAACCACTCTGCCACTGTGCACAACTGAATAAAGTGAATTAGTGTATGCAAAGGTCATTCACTCTGTAGCTTTGGTGGCATTTAAAGTCTGTCAATACAAACAAGTGATATTTAAAAAAGTAATTATTATTCTCATTTCATCTTGACATAGAGTAGATCTGCCGATGCTCTGATTGGATCATTTATAGCATGTGAACTGTGTGTGAGTCTGTGTCCTGTCAGGAGTAAGTGTGCTGTAAACTCACATGGACATACTGTGTCTCTGTATGTCTATTTATAAAACAGTAAATGGTGTTGTTTTGACAGGTTTTGGTGGGATGTGAGTTCTCATGAGGGTCTCTGCCAGTCCGAATGTGCAGCTACACTATAGCACCCGACTATAGAGCTACAGACCAAACTTTGAGTCCATTTGTCTCATCATATTTACAAGAAAAGCCATTTGAATTTATTTTGCTTCAAATTGTATTTCTCAAATTGCATAAATATTATAATATAATTTGTATATTTATTTGGCTGCTAAAAGTGACATTTTTTTGGAGGATTGCATATAATTCCATTTTGATCCCTGCCAATTTAAAACTTAAATTTGTACTTTGTTTTTGTAATTGTTGGTGTTTATTTCTTTTGAAACTAGAAATGCTGTTGTGCTTCATATGCCCCTCTAATTAGACTGGTCTTACATAATAAGCTACACTGTCCATCTGTCCTAAGTGTCCTCTTGGGATTTTTAGTGACAGGTTGCCTCTTGTTGAAGGTCAAAGTTCAAACTGTTGTGTCCTGTTCCAGTGAGGACCCACGGGTGCTCTGCAGATCCCATTAAACAGGTGCCTCTGTCTACAGACTGTAACTCAATCCCTCTTTGTTCCAGCAGGGGGTATTGTGGAACTGAACAAAAGGCTGGAATTAAAATCAATAATAAAAACCTTTTCTTGGCTTCTTTCTATACTGCAGAAATCTAGAGAATCATTTCAATAATGATTAAAATCTAAATATCTACAATTTATGTATTTATGGATCAATTTATTCAAGATCAGATAGAGACAATGTTGTGAATCTCTTCAAATTCAAGTCACTTAAAATGTCTGAACCTCTACATACTCACATTTTCATTTGGAGATTATTTGTTTGACTGGCTCAGGTTTAAATTGTTTTACTATAACATTATGTAACCATACTGTCTTTATGTATTTATATTTTTGTATTGATTTAAATTTCCACCTAACCAGACTGTGTTATCAGTTCAAAATATAAACTTGACCTATTTGTGTATTGGCTAAAACACAAAATTCTCTGTGACTTGTTAAGTGAAGAAGAAATGCCTCGTCACATTCTGCCGTCCTCATCTGTGGAGCTGCACGTCTTATGTGAACGTCTGTGGTCCCAAAGTGACGAAATATAAATAACATGTGTGGATCTCATGCTCCCGATATTTATAATGACCTCTGAGCAGATCAGTGCCGCACGCCCGTCTCCTTCAAGCTGCTGCTGCTGCTTTGAATGGAATGTTTCATAGTAAGGCCTTAAACGAATTGATCTCCATGGAGACAAGGAGGTAACACCACCACGTCAAACTACAGTTCAGATCTGTGGAGAGGCAAGCCTGCTTACTGAAAAATGTTTGTATTTCAAGGTTGAGAAATATAAACTCCTGAAATAATGCAGGATAGATGCAGTTAATGCTTTATTGTGGAACATTCCAGGCAAAGTATTAACTCCATGGAGAAGAGGAGTTCATCTGTGCTGATGAGGAAAATGTCTAAGATCAATCAATCAACAACTTTATTAATCCCAAAGGACATTTCAGTTTGCACATCCCTGGTTGTGCACAGTCCATAATGAAATACATACAACACACGGCATATGTTCAAACCTCAGCAGGTGAATTTATAACTTATTGCTTCTAAAACCAGTGGAGATATTCTACTGTTGTAGTACTCGAGACCGGCCTCAAGACCGCATTTATACGATCTTGGTCGTGTCTCAAACTTGAGCGCCTTTGGTCTCAATCTTATCTTGGTCGTATCTTGGTCGTGATGGTGCTTGGTCTCAGTCTTGTCTCGGTCATGTCTTGGTCTTCTTGGCGCTCAGTCTCGGTCATGTCTCGGTCTTGATGGTGCTTGGTCTTGGTTTTTTCTCTGTCTTGATGGGGCTTGGACTCTGTCTTGTCTCGATCTTGAAGGCGTTTGGCCTCGGTCTTGTCTTGGTCTTAATGGTACTTGGTCTTGGCCTTTTCTCGGTCTTGATGGTTCTTGACCTTGGTCTTGTCTCAGTCTTGTCTCGGTCTTGATGGCACTTGGTCTCTGTCTTGTCTTGGTCTTGATGGTGCTTGGCCTTGGTCTTGTCTCAGTCTTGATGGTGCTTGGCCTTGGTCTTGTCTCAGTCTTGATGGTGGTTGGCCTTGGTCTTGTCTTGGTCTTGATGGTGCTTGGCCTTGGTCTTGTCTCAGTCTTGATGGTGCTTGGCCTTGGTCTTGTCTCAGTCTTGTCTTGGTCTTGATGGTGCTTGGCCTTGGGCTTTTCTCAGTCTTGATGGTGCTTGGCCTTGGTCTTGTCTCGGTCTTAACGGTGCTCGGTCTTTTCTCAGTCTTAATGGTGCTTGGTCTCAGTCTTTTCTCGGACTCGAGGTCTGACACTCGATCTGTGATCATATGTCATTACGGCCAGTAAATCTGCATAGGCTGCTAAATATCAATACAAAACCAGAAGAGAATGTAACTGTGAAAGTTATGAACTCAAAAATAACACTTGATTCGCATTAAAGTTGTTTTCTGTGTGCAAATGGAAATGGGATTAAAGAAGGAGTTCTAAAACTGTGGGTGTGGGTCCAAAAAGGGGATGTTTAAGTGCAGTACAGTTTGCTTGGCCTATTTTAAGAATAAATGAACCAGATAAAATGGAGATAGATTTATATAAAAACATTGATATATATGTGCCAAAATACAAATAAATGTAGGAAATGACAAAAATGGTCTTGATTTGGTCTTGATGGGCCATGGTCTCAGTCTTTTCTCGGTCTTGGCCTTTCAAAGTCTTGGTCTTGTCTCGGTCTGGACCCTCCGAGGTCTTGGTCTTGTCTTAGTCTCGGGACCCTGTGGTCTTGGACTGGTCTTGGTCTCTATTAGTGCGGTCTTGACTACAACACTAAATAATCAATCACAAATTGGCAGTTGAAATGACTTTAAACTAAAAGATTAATATGACAAGTTTGTGGAACCAGTGTCTGATGAAAAATATGAAGTTCAGTATTTGTGAATTTGGTTATTGCATTCAGTTTCAGTTCAGTTCCAGTTTCTAGATGCCCCTGGCCTCCGTTTGAAATTATAACAGCAAATTCTAAAATGCCGTAAACTCAACCTATTGTCCCACTTTTTTGGCCTGAAGTGAAAGGAGGAGGAGGAGTGACGGGGCATGATCTTTTCTGGCCCTGATCTGAGAAGGGACTATGCATAGCTGGAGTCCCTTCCCTCCTATT